ACTTTTTTTTTTTTTTTTTTTTATTTTTTTTGTTCTTTGTTTTTTTTGGGGGGGGCGGGTTGGGCTCCCCCCCCCGCCCCCCCCCCCCCCCCCATCCCCCCCCCCCCCCCCCCCCCCCCCCCAAAAAAAAAAAAAAAAAAACAGATTCGATTTCGTTACTTCGGTTTGCAGATACTAGCTAATCGTGCTTCACAGACGGCGTCGTGTATCTTGAACTTCGCACAACCCCAAGGTCTTTCCCGAAGGGAGGTCTGGACAGAAAGGGCTACGTGGATGCCGTCTTGACAGCTATAGATGAGGCACAACAGAAGTATCCATCGATCCAAGTTCGCTTGATCCTCTCCATAGGTTAGTATTATATATCTTCCTCCGAAAGTGTCCCGAGATGGGGGAAAAAAAAAAGTCTCGAAAACGCCCTGTTGTTATTGTATCCTATTCGGGTTCTCGTACGACTGGCTGTATAGGATAGCGGCCAACACCTAATATTCGAATAGATCGTCGCAACACACTTGACGAGGCAAACGAGGTCGTGGCCCTCGCTACACACTTCAGCTCTCGCGGTGTCGTCGCTGTCGACCTCTGTGGTGATCCGGCCAAGGGAGACGTCTCGCTATTTACCCCCGCCTTCGAGGCTGCAAAGGCACAGGTTCGTTTTCGTTTCCCCTTCGTTATCGAAATTCAGACCTTATAATTCTGCATTCATGATTTGGGAAAGTATAGTTCACCACTAACGCCTAAGCGCAAACGAAAAGGGGCTCAAGATTACAATTCACTTCGCCGAAGCTGCATGTAGCGCTAGCGAAACCGAACTCCAGACTATCCTGGGCTGGAAGCCTGATCGTCTTGGCCATGTCAGTAAGTAACACACGATCCTATCACCCCCTTTTCCGAATGCCTCCAAAACTCGATGAATCTCATTTCCGAGACTAACCTCGTGTCATCTAATCACTCTATCAAACTCACGATAGCGACGTCTAACCTCTGATTTCTATCCTAGTTCATGTCCCGGAGCATATAAGGAAACAAATCGCAGCAGTGCGCCCCGGCATTGGTCTCGAATTGTGCCTGAGCTGCAATGTACAGCTCAAGATGATAACGGGCGACTTCGACGCGCACCATTTCGGCGAGTGGTGGCGTGTCGACGGTCCCGTGGTTGTACCTTGCGTAAGCACCTTCTTTTTTTTCAGCCCAAACAACTAAGCTGAACAACATACATCTACACATTTGCACTGGAAAGCGAGCGAACCTATGCTAATCAAGGAATGTATCTCTATATTTCTAGACCGACGACGTTGGCGTTTTCGACAGCCCCGTATCGAACGAATGGAAACTGATACAGCGGTATTTCCACCTTGAGAGGGACGACGTCTTGAGTCTCGCGAGGAAAGGGGTCGATGTCATATTCGGCGGCGATGCGCAAAAGACGCGATTGCGGGAGATCATGTGGTGAAACAAGTATTCAGAACGGGGGCCGTTTGGTAGTTGAGGGGATCAACGGGTGCATATATATACTGAAGCGGGGTGATCGAAGATGAGTTCACTGTTATCTATTCCCGCCATTTAAAGCGCGTCACGCTAAACTGGTAACTATCGAAATCTACTCTACGTTGACTCTAGTTCCTATATTCATGATGATGAATGGCTGATAGGTGGATGTACCGATACTGCCATGCGGTATCAACGTCGTTACATATTAGGCATGGCTGGCCGTCCATTCCTGAAACCACGTGAGGGATTCAGGGTTCGCTACGCTTGCGTTGGTCTTAACGTTGATGCCGGATAGGATTTGTTTGACGGCGACCTCGATCCTGTTTTTAAGTTAGACTTTCTCGCAATTGATCGAAGAGAAATAGCATAGTTTCTGAAACTGCTCCTCTTAGTGACTATGGAATCACCTACTTTTTCCCATTTCCTGTCCGTGGAATACCTCCACCGGCCTTTTCGATGATGGCAGGCACGTGTCTGGGACTTAATTCGGTTCGGATGGTCTGTGTCTTGAGTTAGAGATATCTGTACACGCGCAAGATATCGCAGTCTCCACAGAATACAGATCACTTGATTCCATGAGAACAGCTCGAAAACAAAAAGAAAAAGGGGCTAAAAAGCTCAGTTACGAGTCCTAGAGATCATACCTGCTGGATCCTCGCGCGTAACTCATCCGTGAACTCCTTCCCCTCGCACATCAGCACGAACAGACAGACGGTCTCGTCGCGGTCCGTTTCCCGCCGTCGCCCCACGCACACGGCGTCCTCGACCTCGCCGCCGAAGAACTTGGTCAGCACGTTGTAGATCTCGGCACTGCCGAAGCGGACGCCGGATGGTTTCAGGACGCCGTCGCTGCGACCGAGCATCGTCAGCCCACCCGTGCGGACGTCGATCCGCACGAAATCCCCGTGGTGCCAGACGTCGGGGAAGCGCTCGAAGTAGCTTGCTCGGTACTTGTCCTCGCCGTTGGGGCCCCAGAATGTTAATGGTTGGCACGGGAAGGGCTGGGTGCATACCACTGTATTCGGGGTTTGTTAGTCGTGGTTTTAACATCCTCGATGTCATGATTGGGCCGAATGCGTGACATGATGGCGACTTAGGGTGTAAAAAGTACTACAAAAGAGAAATCGGGCAGTCATTCGAAAAGGGATTGAGGGGTTGGGGAGAAGCCACCAAGTAGGTGCGATATTAAGGGAATAATCAACATACACTCGCCATCCTCGCCTGGCGTTCGCTCTCCCGTGAGGGGATCTACAACATCAATGGCCATGCCGAGGCCGGCGCATTGTATTTCACCTACGTAGACAGGCAGCACTGCGAGCAGGTGGAGTTAGTATTTGCTTATATATGACACCCTCGGCGCGAAGTAAAGCCTTCTACACCTCCAAAAAATTGCTAAACCTAGACGGGAGTGGTTTTGGAGGTACTAACGAGGATTAGGGGCGCCAAATAACGAGATGATGTCCGTTCCGCCGGTGATCGAGCCTAGATTGATATGTGACGGGAAAGCTTTATACACGAAGGAGAAGGTTGACGGGGGTAAGGGCGATGCCGTTGAATAGATGGCCTGGAGATGAGAGAGATCAAGAGATTCCGAAGGGTATATGTTGTTGGCTTCCAGTGTTGTAAGATACGTTGCTGAGGTGCCGAAGTGCTATATCACACACGTTGGAATTAGTAATTGCCAGATAGGGGAGGGGTTTGGCTCATGTTTCGGGAGTATGCAGGAGCATTGAGGCCGCAAACCTGCCTGAAGGAGAAGTAAATGACTCCAGAGAACTAACCGTGACCTTCAGCGAGGAGAGCAGCCGGGGAAGCGAGAGATAACCATGTGGCTTGAAGGGAGAACCGGTGTAGAGCACGAGCGTCGAGCCGCAGGCTAATGCCGAGACGCTCCAGTGCCACATCATCCACGAAGTCGTAGTATAGTACAACAAGCGGGAAGTCGAATCCATTGAGCAGTGGAGGATGTGCTCTTTCTTGTGCTGTATCAGAGTGCCTAGCGCTGTGTGAACAATGGCCTTGGGAAGACCGGTCGTGCCCGAGGAATAAAGTACATAAAGAGGATGGGATGGCGGGAGCTGCTCGAACCTCAGCGGCTCGTCATCAGGGGTCCTAGAAGAATATCAGTCTCAAGAATCAAATATCATAATTCCTTGGCGGCGTACATGTTTAAAAAGTCACTGTATTCAGTGCCGACTACTGAATCAGGCAGTTGTATATCCAAGGGTGCTTTACACAGTGGGATATTGACTATGAAAACTACCACCTCGAGAGTTTTCAATTCCTTTACAATTTGTATCACCTTGTCCATACTAGACCACGGCTTGCCATTGTACTAAGAGTATGAAGTTAATAGTTGCTATTCCGCGCGTCGTGTGACAGGTTTCGGGAATGTTAGAAAGTCCCCAAGTGAGGTGCCCATTTAAGTGAACGAGAGCTATTTCATCCCGTAATTGCTAGAACCAGAAGAAAACGAAACTGATAATTACTCACCACAGTACCGTTATCTGCAAACAGCACCTTGGGCTCAATCTGCACCAGCCGGTCCAGCACAGCGCTCACGCCGTTGTCAGGGCTAATACCAGTCCAAATAGCACCGACAGCGGCAGCACCCAACATGGCCACGAGAGCCTCGTAGTGATTGGAAACGAAGCCGGCGACAACATCCTTCGGCCTCACGCCCGCGGCACGCAAGGCAAAGGAGCATTTACGCACTGCATCACGTAATATCGCCCAAGTGGCCGTCTGAGTAGACCCGTCGAGCTCAGTGACGGTGATAACCGCAGTGGCAGACTCATCCACATTGACATTTTGGGGGAACAGCAGATTTTCTGCAAAGTTCAACAGTGACCCGGCAAAGAAGTCCGGGCGAGGGAAGATTGGTGCATCGGCAGGTAGGACCTTGAATGAGGCATCAGCGAGTCTTGGGACACACGAGAAACCATGTCCGGCCACAGCGTTGGTGATGTCCGTGACTCTACCTAGGTACTCATATGACAGACAGAGATTCATCAACTAACTCATACCTGAGAATACGGCTGGGAGGCCTTGATACCGCAAAAGTGCCAAACCTCACCCCAGAATTCCGATGGATTCTGCGTTGACCATTTATAGAGGCCGGGATAGTCGTCGATCTCGAGCTTGTACTTGTTTCTCACATGGTCGAGGAAAGAGTACATGGAAGTTGACTGTGGGTCGGGATGCCGCCATAGCTCCGCCGAGGTGCGATCGATGGTCATTGTGCGCTTCCAATTCTATATCCGGAAAACAATATTCAAGAAGATAGTTGGTCACGGAGCTCAAAGAGAGGGAGAAAATTAGAAAGCAGTGTTAATTGATTGGATCCGGCGATGCTTGGGGTGAGCGTCTCATTCTCTTACTTTTCTTGGTCTAAGTGGCTTATAGGCAGGTGTAAGTAGTACGGGCAACTAGGTAATATGGGAGTTCAAATTCTTCTCCCGACGGTGGCCGAGCTGACTTGGACCGAAGCGTCTGAACCCGGTGATTCGAGGCGGATCTTGCATGCAGTCAATTACATAACTTGCGTAGGTAACCTGTATTATTTTATAAATACATCTAGGTCATTGCGCTTCCAGTACGCGGCAACACTGAACCATGTCAGTCATCTATTGCGATAGGTAGGTATTGCACACTTAGGCAGAGGCAGCTGCTCTAACTGTGGTTCCTAGACTAGTGGCTGAGAGACCACATGTAATCAAGAGCGTGCTATTCCAAAGGGCTATCTATGTTCATACTTGCAAGCATAGAAGAAAAAAAGCCACTTTTATATGCCCAAGCTAAAAGTGGGACAACATCATGACGATACCTAGTGAGAAGTGGTGAAAGTGCGGCAGCGGATCTCTAGTGATCATCTCCCAAATCCTCATTATACTGGAGTGCGGACACTCGGCAGCAAGTATGGATTGGCCTGTACTGTCCAACTGTTGGGGGTAGTCAGTATTACTGAGCGGTTCAATAATCAAGGGATCTGATTTTATTCTAAATCTACACGGGGCAAAGGTGAAGATGGCACTCAAGTTTGCTACTGATCATACCAATAGGGTTTCCGCGCTCCTCAGTAGCTGTGGCCACAAGTCACGAGACACACCCTTCTACATCTCATGTCATCACTCCAATGCGCTAGAACATTCCTACGTCATACTACTTAGTAAAGTCTATGTAAAGAGATTTAGACCGCGATGAACAAATCGATAGACAAATTCTACCTAGTCAAGCAACTACACACGCTCGACACGGTCATCAGAGAAACCCTCACTTGTGGACTATGGAGTATTATCATACCCGTTTAGACCCTAGGATGTGTTCTCTGAAGGGTTGACAGATCTCGCGAGCCGAAGTTTTCGTTCCATTATGCAGATTCGCCTAGGTAGGTTGGGGACCCAAAGCGTTAAGTGGGCGTATTGCTACTTACTTATGCGCGTATAACTTCGTATCTGTGCCTCTGCGGAAGGCCGGGCTAGGTCAAGAGCCCGGCGAACTTCCGAGTCTTCCGTCGGGTATCTAAGTACTTGCCTGGTCCACCACCGAGATACTAGGTACCTAACTTCTGAACCCACGCTTCCCGTTGCTTGTTGGTTCTGAGCACTTACACTTCTGATTGATGGTCGGCTGTCATACCGGTATATACCTTATTTATTGAAGATGAATAAATTACAGACCCCAGAAGCTTTGTCAAGACTCGACATTTGTAATTAATTGTTCTTAGAGTTCTGCCTGCACCTCATTAAAGATCAAATGAGGCAATGAGATACATGCGTTATATCTATTGGGATCTGAAAGGGTTAAGGTCCCAGAAAAATAAGATTACAGGCGAGAGCGACAAATTGCTCATGGCGTACCTAGTACTTCTAGTCGCGTCTCACCATGGGCAATCAGTAAGGTATCTTAGACATCTAGCGCGCAGCCGGATAGGGTAAGCACCAGCTGTCTACCCCTAAAGCGGGCAAAGTTTGCTGTAAACTCTCGCTCTAGCGGAGCCCGGCAGGAGGCATCGTACAAGTATCACTTGTATCTCGCTCTCCTGGTGTACCTTGGGTAGAGGGCTGGCGGCTGTGTTACCGGAGGTACATGGCATAGCATGGGTACCGAGTCCTTGCCTGTCCCCCTGGTCAAACTGGAACTCTGATGTTGGTACTGTAATTCGCCCGTCGCCCTATCTATGGGTATCCTGCGGTACCTGTAAGGCACTGCTGAGGTAGCCTGTCAGGTACTTATCTTCAGTGCCTACCCGACTCCCGACTGTTACCTGCCTGCCTACCACTGATAGTGCTTCCTTTTCTTGCACCGCTCCACTCCTTTCCATCCTTCCCTTCCCTCTCTTCCTCTTCACCAACTACGCCGTTAATTCGCCCTCGAGGTCGTCTTTCTCCTGGTATTCCGTCCTCGTGGTCCCCGACTTCTGGGAAAGGATTGTCTTCGCAGTGGTGCTTGCTGGTGTTGGTCGTCAATCCCCTTAGCTTTTAACCATCTCGTAACCTTGTTGTGCGTATCTGCCGCCTGCGAGTTTGACAACCGACCTGTTCCTCGTCGTTCCTTTGGGCATTTGTTCCCTACCACGCTCCTTTCTTGCTACACCACCAATTGAAGACAGCGAGCCAGCTGCACCCGACCAACTTTTAATAATCGTAATCCGTCAATTGGAAGCTTGAGTGCTCCCTTCCAAACTCAACCTGCTTCCACCTCGATCAGTATTTGAACACGATTTCGGCCTCTACTCTCAAGTATCCTGCTTCAATCCGTCCGTCAGCCTCGTATGTACCGTACCGCCTTTTCTGATCTCGCCCTTCACGTCCTGCTCTATTTGTTAGATGGCCCATCCCCTACAATTATCTTCATATATCGCTGGCAATGAAGGATTCTTTGATCAATTCATCCTGATGTGGCTGTTCCGCTGACATATACTTCCTTGTAGGAACTAAGCCGCCACAGCCTCTGTCTAAGCCATACAACGCGCATTGGTTATCACTGCTAGCTTCATAATTCCATATCATCCTGCTATCAGACCTGATTCTCACACCTAATTGTATATTTTGACCGCTAAGCCAAATGCCGCGCAAACTTGCGATCCCCTTCAGTGGCTCGGCTGCCATGCCTCAGTCAGAACGCACTGCTGAGAGGCGACCCTCTCAATCTAAGGGCAACCGTCTCAGTCAATTCTTCTCTTCGCCCAAGAATAGGGAGCAACCTGCTGCCCAGCAAGCCCTCATGGCTATGCAGAACAACCCGACACCTACCACTACTTCAACCCTTGCTCTGCCGAGCATCTTGCTCTCTTCTGCTGCGGTCCATGAACACAATAACGACGAATCTGCCACTATCTATGAACCTCTTGACTCAACAGAGACCTCGCTCCAACGCCGCCGTGATGCTCAATTCGGTCCCCAGGTTGACCCTGCTCACAGTTATGTCAGCATGCATCATGGAGAGCCCTTGGAGGCACCCGTCATCGATGAGCCGCCTTATTATTATGTTCTCACAACCTACATTAGCTATCTTTTACTTCTTGCTCTCGGCCACGTGAGGGATTACTTCGGCAAGCGCTTCAGCAAGAAGCCATTATACAAGACCCTGAAGGCTTCTAACGGCTACGCCCCTTTAAATTCCGACTTTGACAGCTTCTACACAAGACGTTTGAAGCTCCGCATTGATGACACTTTTGCAAGGACGACAACCGGAGTGCCTGGCCGTTACATCAACCTTCTCGACCGCGTTTCTGACAATTTTAACGAATCTTACAAGTATCTAGGCACGACCACTGAAACCCTGAACATGAGCTCTTACAATTACCTGGGATTCGCTCAATCCGAAGGCCCCTGCGCGAACGCAGTTGAAGACTGTGTGCAGAAACATGGGCTGAGTTTCTGTAGCTCTCGTGCTGATGCCGGTACTTCGGAGTTCGTGTGTGAGGTAGAACAAGCGGTAGCCGAGTTCGTTGGTAAACCCGATGCAATGGTGTTTTCTATGGGATTTGTCACGAATGCAAGCACATTCCCCGCTCTTGTCTCTAAAGGCTGCTTGATCATCTCTGACGAGCTCAACCATGCGTCAATCCGCCTTGGTGCGCGTCTTTCTGGTGCTGTCATTCGCTCGTTCAGGCATAATGACATGACTGATCTCGAGAAAAAACTCCGGGAAGCTATTGCCCAGGGGCAACCTCGTACACATCGTCCATGGAAGAAGATCTTAGTTGCGGTCGAAGGTCTGTATTCTATGGAGGGTACTATGGTCGATCTACCAGGTGTTTTGAACCTGAAGGACACCTACAAATTCCACCTGTACGTTGATGAGGCACACAGTATTGGCGCCCTCGGACCTCGAGGTCGTGGTGTGTGTGACTACTTTGGAATAGACCCAAGCCGAGTGGATATCCTTATGGGCACTTTAACTAAGTCATTTGGCGCCAACGGCGGATACATTGCTGCGGACAAGGTGATTATTGATAAGTTGAGGAGCTCCAACGCTGCGACGATGCTCGGAGAATCTCCTTCGCCTGCTGTATTGATGCAGATTTATGCGTCTTTGAAAATCATCACTGGAGACTTGGTGCCTGGTGAGGGCGAGGAACGACTACAGCGTATCGCTTTCAACTCGCGTTATCTCCGCCTCGGCCTCAAGCGACTAGGTATGATAGTATACGGCCATGACGATTCCCCCATCATCCCAATCGCTCTGTACAACCCTGCCAAAATCCCTGCCTTCAGCCACGAGATGTTGAAGCGTAAGATCTCGGTTGTCGTGGTAGGCTACCCTGCCACTCCCCTAATTAGCTCACGCGCTCGCTTCTGTGTTTCCGCTGCGCATAACAAGGACGATCTCGACCGGCTTCTCGCTGCCTGCGATGAAGTGGCGAGCATCCTGCAGCTCAAGTTCTCCACTGGCATTGCGGGTGGGCTAAAGCCACTTCCCGAAGGCGTAACCCCGGAAACCGAGGCGGCGTGGCGCAAAGCAAATGGGCTCAAGGCTGTTGAGCCGCCACGTTGGTCACTTGAGGATGTTGTTGCTCGAGGTGCTACAGATGCGAAATTGAGACTCCGATAGCCGCCAATTCTTGACTTTTTAAGCTTCGGAAAAACTTGAATTCATATGCATTAATGGCGTTTGAAGATGGGTCGGAACAGAAACATGATCAGACACGGCGCTCCGGAGTTGTGTGAAGCCTACGGAGGAGTGAAGAAGATAGGTTTCCTGCTTTACCACGGGAGTTTGGGTGTTCCCCTTGGTGCCATTCGCTTGACAAAATGAACATGTTCGCTTCTTGACCTGGGTTGGCCGTCACCCCATAGGCGGGGCGGAGCCAGAGGATTAATCTTGTATGCCACTGGCAGAGAGAGTTACGTGTGTTCCACATGTGTACCACCTACAAGTTTTGAAAACACTAGCCTCGGCGAATGGGCAGATTTCTGCCGCGCCATCAGCGTCCATATTACATAGGGCATGGGAGGCGACTCATTCGAGCTTTCTTGGATGAGCTCATGTAACCTCCATGCTGACCAAACTGTAGGTAGATTTTCAAGATAGCCATTGCATTATGGTTCTTATCTCACTGCTTTCCTCTTCCGTGACTGAGCCTCGCATGGACTGTGAACGAGAGAGAGTGTTCGTAAATCCATGAACAACCTGTGCTCGTATTGGTGATGATTGCCCGTGGTTTCTTTAAGACCACTACTGGGAGTCGTGAGATGTGAGCCACGCCACGCCACGCAGCAGGGGATATGAAACTGGTGGTGCCCCTCGTCACAGCTCTGGCGTTAGGATACCTATTCCAGTTACGAAGGCACTACTCCGTACACTACAGCTTTTCTCTTGTCGGTACCTACATAGTGTATGATCCTACCTCCGCTAAGCGACTACCTCCTAGGCTGTGCACCTGGGCGCCTAGTGTATGTACATAGGTACCTATGTGCTCCTACTTATGTAGATCTCTGCTACTTATGTACAGGCCATGCTAGGTAAGTGATCATCCATCACGCTAAGCACCGTTAGAAAAGATTCTTTTTTTAAATAGAAAAAGAGAAAAATTATGTCTTAGTGGCTAAGGTATGATACCCGTACAATGATATTCAGCCGTGCCGACAATTAGTACATTCAATAATTATCCACATAGAGAGATTACCATCTCAGCCTGCTTCCCTTCTTACCTACCTAGGTACCGTACTGTAGGTAGGTCGTGTAGGTAGGTAGGAAGCGAGGAGGCACCTTAGATACGTGTAGGTAGGGCACCACTATCGTGCTGTTAGGAACCAAGGGATACCCTGACTCTGCGCTGCACCTAGCGCATGTCAAGCTATGTAGGTGCTTCAAGGTTATTACTATGGTAAGATATTATATGAGAAAGTCCCCATATCCAAAGCACCCGTGGACCTGAGGTTAATAGGTAGGTCTTGTGTATGCAATGCAGCGCACACCACCACCCGGGTACATGATCAAAAATTGATTTAAATTGTCCTATGGCGTGAGACTCGATCCCCCATCCCCCATCCCCCATTCCCCCCCCTCTCTGTCTCCCCCGCGCCCACGTTCAACAGCGGCTAGGCACCTAGTGTTGTGCCTTCGTTCTTCAGCACGCCGGCTGGTCTTGTACCCCTACCGGCCAAGTCAGGGAGCACAAGCGGCGCACAGGGCAGAACACAGGGAGGAATATCCGGCGGAATACGTACCGATACATGCGCATGTCAGGGGGGGCTGCCTACATAGTACCTACCTACTCCGATTGCCAGGGCTCCAACAGGGCGCTACCATACCTAGGTAGCAGACCCGCCCTGCCGTAATAGGCTTGGTGGGCTTGGTGGGCTTGGCTGGCTGGCTGCGGGCTGGCCCTTGATAGACGGGTGGGCGAGTGGGTAGACTGGATGAGTTACTCCTGGCTGGCTGGCTGGCCGTCTCTGGGAGTTCGTCGTCTCGTCTTCAACGTCGGACGCATTGACACACGCCCTCGCCGGTCAATCGTCCTTCCATCTCGCCGCATTCTTCGGAGCCAACTAAATTGGGTCGGTTTGAAAGCGATCCAAACATTTGGGTCCCGGCTGTACTCTATCCCATCACCCCCTTTCTTAATTCTACGCCAACTTTGTGCCTGTTGGTCCTTGCTGGTTGGCTGTTGCTGTTCGACTATCTATCTCTATCTTTGCGTATCTTCGCTGTGACGTCCTCTACCCGATTTTTACGTCACTTGTGTCGTTGCACCCTTCCGCCACCCGGAACCCCGCCTTGCCCGTTCTACGATAATAACACCGACAGAGCCGGGAGAGCTGGGAAGAAAGAGAAAGAAGAGAGAAAGAAAAAATAGTGACGGAAAGAAAGAAGCGACGAGGTCAAGACGGAAAAAGAGACGGAGCTAGAGGTGAATAGAGACCAAGCAAAGAAAAGAAAGAGAAAAAAAGAAAAGAAGGAAAGAAAGGGAGAGGTACTGTGTGCGCGTGTCTGCGTGTGTCAGAGTCGAGAGGGTTAATCAACGACGAATATGAACTTCGATTCAGGCACGGCGTACGCCGAATCCGACGCCGATGACGAGTACGAGCGTAGCTTGCACACGAGCTCCCCCGTCCTGGCCACGGATTCTGAGATTTCCCCAACCGATTCCGATGGCCGTTCCTCCACCGAGCACACCCCGACTACCTACGGTCATAGGAGCAGTGCCGATCGATTACCGGAGACCATCATCTCAGAATGGACGGCCGAGGAGGGTGCAGACTTCATTGCTACCATTGGTCTTCAACAATACTCAGACCGCTTCATTGGTGCGTGTGACTGATCACTCTGTCCTGCCGCACTCATTCCTGTTGTGTCTAGTCTAACATACGATGTTGTGCATCTATCTAGAGAATGAAATTGTTGGCGAGGCGCTCGTAGCCTTACTTCACGATGATCTCAAGGCAATGGGCGTGACCAGTGTTGGACATCGTCTGACCATCCTCAAGAGCGTATACGACGTCAAAAAGGCGCAAGACATCCCCATCGAGAGCGATCATTATGTCCCTTTGTGTATGTGTCTCTTCACCTCTCAGCGCCCCTGATTGTAGCACCGAGTTAACGCGCGCGTGATTGTCGAAACATAGCCGCCGATGCCGAAGCCCAATATGCTACAGCCACCCTCAAAGACATCAAGCAACTCGTCGAACAGCTACGGTTGCGGGATGAGAGAATAAGCCTTGCGGAGAGGGATTTGCGCCAGTTAAGCGAGGATTTCCGCCGGTTGCGCGAAGACATGCTGCCGGCCCTGCGTCTCGCTAAGAATGCCCAGCAGCCATTACCCACCGTGGCGGCTGATAGTCCAAATTACTCTTACGAGTCGTCGACGATATCACCGCCGACATCCACCTCAGCTTCAGGGCAGTCATCTGGTGGCATCAAGCGGACGTATTCTACTAAGAAGATTGTGCTCGGTCCAAACGCCATGAGCAGTTCCCCTAGTCATTTGCAAACGACTCATGAGCGCCCATCAGTAGAGCAAACGCTAGACCCGACGAGCGCAGCCGAACGAGCGGTCGCTCAGGGTTCCCGTCTCGCCGCAACGGCTATGAATGGCTCCGGCCAGGCCGTTTCGCCGAGCTACTCACCCAACATCCCATCTCCAACATCACCTCCCACTACGGGTACCACGCTCGGGTCTCGTTCGTACAACCAGCCTACACCGTCGGGCCGCTCCACATTCCCCGAGAGCGACCACGGCTATAGCACCAAGCAACCAGTGGCCCCACGCCGCATGCAGACGCCAGTCCCGGAGACACCGGGATCAGGCTCGTCAGTGGAGATCTTCAAATCGTTCCGCGTGAGCATGGATGATCCTTGCTACAAGGTCCTGCCAGCAGCGCTCAAGAAATACCAAATCAACGCGCCATGGGACCAATACGCACTCTATATCGTATATGGTGACCAAGAGCGCTGTCTCGGTCTCGAAGAGAAGCCCCTGATCCTGTTCAAGCAACTAGATAAGGAGGGGAAGAAGCCCATGTTTATGTTACGGAAGACTAATACGGCCCAGGCCGATGCTGAAACACCGGGGAGTGCAGGTCTAGGTTCTGGGACGAGTAGAGGTGTCAATTATGACCCGCCTGGTGGCATTATATGATCCTCATACTGGGGAATAAAAAGAAGAAAAAAAGAAATATGAAAAGAATAGCAAAAAGGAGAAAAGGCCAAGGAAACCAGGCAGAGGGAAGATAAAGTGAGAAGGTAGGGGGAGGATGGGGGAGAGAGAGAAATAGGAAGGAAGAGAAGATAGGACATTACGCAATCTATCTCTCTTTTTCTTTCGTTCTCTCACTCTTTCCGCGTGTATGTATGTATGTATGTACGTGTGTTGGTGCTGGGTGTGTGCTTTTTTTCAAACCCTTCTCCTGTGGCTCTTGTAGGATTTGAAAAAGGGCTGCTTTGACGGGGGGTTTGGGTTTATATCGCCGGGGAGGACAGGACTGGACAGGACAGGAAGCGAATCTGTCCTATCTTTTCTTGTCTTGTCTTGTCTATTATGGGACGAGACGAGGCGTTGTGTGTGTGTGTGTGTTGTGTTGTGTGAGATGATAAAATAACTGCATAGCGTGCGAGCAAAACTGTTAAGGTGTCACACATTATTTTATCGTTTGTGTTGTTTTATGTAATTGCTGGTTCTTAGTATTATTCTCTTATATAATTATATGAGTATCTACCTACCTACCTACATACGTAACTATCCTACTTGCGTGTCTGTGTGTTTGGGTTGATGATTGTAGGGGATGGGAGGGATGTGTATGGTATTGTAGGCTAGGTCTTGGTGCTTGTATGTATATGCTGGGAGCTTGGAAGGGATGGTGTGAAGAATGAGGGACTGGGATTCTGTAGTTACTGCGATGCCTCCCCTCGATTCATGGAATTAGTATGGACATGAGGAATGGGGAGTAGATGTTGTGTATAAAAGGAACATGTATTTATGGCGTAGGCCTCTGAAAACTAGCTAGCTGAAGTAGATGTTCATATAACTATGCCAGACGACTTGTTTTCTTCTAGGTACTTTAGTAGTGTCTCTTCCCTTCTACTGTCAGTCTGTCACATTTCGTGATCTTGTTCTCCCATCATTATTTATTATGAATTCTGTTCACTCTAGAATAGCAGATTACATTATAAGATCACCGAGTTCCCTATGCTATGCTTTCGTTTAAATAAAAGATACATCTTCAGCGCTAACTACATCTTGTTCAAATTTTATATGCTGTAGATAAGCATCCTAGATTCAAAGTTCATGATTGCAACTCTTTTAATTTAACCTTCACTTTGTCGTGACTTAAAAGGTGGCTCCACCACACACCCCCACCAATCAGGCAGCCTGGGGCAGAGCTTGGGGGGATTTGTGGCTTAGCACACGTTCTTGCCGGAATAGGATGGGGACAAGCCAGGAGCCTACGCCCGAGACAGAGATAGCGCGACGGACTACGCAATTGGCACGCCGCATCTTCCATCTTCGTTACCAGCTGTGAGAACATCACCATCGCCAACGCGACTGCTTAACCAACTCAACCAACCAATTCCTCGGCGCGTGCCTTTCTCACCAGCCAAAATGCAGATCGAGGTACGTTGCTTCTTCCTCCGCATCTCTCTACGGCTCCTTGGCCTTGCTTGCGAAGCTCGAGATGCTTGGATTGCCCACTTCGAGCTTCCCTGCATCCAGCAGCTCTCAACACGCAAACTCCCCGTGCGCCTTGTCCATGGTTTATTATCATTGCTTTGCGTATTGCCTATCCGTTTGCTTGATATCCGTAGCCATGTCACACAGGTCTCGTGAGAGGGCCGGACTAACTTGGTGGCCCATTCAGCGCAAGGTCCGCCTCGTCACCGAGCAGAAGAACATGTACGTCGCGAACTCTCGTCCACTTCAGCCATTGTGCCTCACTACCCACTTGCGATTCTGACGTCACGCGCTATGCCTACAGTCCCAAGGAATCTCCTATGCCCGAATTCCCTATGAAGTCATGGAATGTAAAACTCTATATCCTCGATCAGGAGGGGAACAAGCACCCAGCAAACTGCTTCCAGAAAGTTGTCTACAATCTCCACCCGTCCTTCGAAAACCCGCAGCAGAGTGAGTTCAGTGCACCATTCTATCGCCGTCGGAACTCCAACACAAAAGAGAAAGAATGCTGACCTAAGTGACCGTTATTAGCGTTTCACGAGCCGCCTTTCACTTGTACAAATGAAGGCTGGGGAGAGTTCGAGATGTCAATCGACATGTACACCACTGAAAAGGCCAAGATTACCATCTTCCATGACCTGAACTTCCAGTCCCCGGAATACAAGAACGACCAGACTGTGACCTTTAAGAATCCGTCACAAGCTCTGATCCAGGCTCTTCGCGAGACTGGTCCCGTGGGCGACGATGATGCCAAGGCAAACAAGGCACGTAAAGCTGCCGATAGCAAGAAGCGCAAGTTTGCTTTTGACTACGAGAAGATGGGTGATGCCTTGACCAAGCTGGGCGAAGACGACTTATTGCATGTGATCCAATTGATCCATGACCACAAGTCCGACGACACTGTTACGAATAATGACATCGAACGTGGAGAATTCTCTGTCGACCTGTTCACTATGCCTGAGCCGTTGACGAAAATGATCTGGGATTTCCTTGTATGTTGTACATCTCTGCTTTATTGCAATTTCCATCATTCAATTCTCTGTCCTCCCCTGCTCACTGCTCTTGACCCTGAGTACACATGCTGCGGGCCTGCCGTCAAGACTTGGGAAAGATGCTAACCAAATCCGATGCAGTTGGAACAGAAGATGGTGACTGTGTAAATGGTCAGTGTACGTGGATGTCGTCAGCTGTGTTACTGGAGGTTGAAGGCATAATGAGATTTTCTTGATTTTTTTTCTTTCTTTCCTGTGAGGAAGACAGCATTGCATTGGCGTTTTGATGTGAGGTGGTTACAGAAAGCCGAGTTATGGGCATCTTCGGCAAGGAGGCTCTGGTTACATTGGCGCATGGTTTGCGTTTTATCTCGCGCCCGATGCCAGCGCGGTAGATACCCCCCTGTAGGTAGTGTGAGGCCTCAACAACGAGTATGGGCTCTCTCGACTGATAACTATAATGCAGGAATGCATTGGCTTATTCTCAGGTTGGGACTGTCTATGGGTTTATGGCTGTGCATGCTTTATAATCCGCCATCCTTTCTGCCCCTGTAAGTTGTACGAGTTGGAATATGTCATATGTGTTGGTGGTTTGTGATATGTGATATGGTAGGCTCCTATTCCTAACACCAGCTGAACATCACATACTGATGGATAGGAGCGCTGGAGACATAGTAAGGGTAATCTGATTTACGGCCTTTTAACTGCTCTGTGAGTTGTGTAGTCGCAGATCTTTTCCATGATCAGAGAAGGTAGAATATCTGGGAATTCCAAGCAGAGATTTACTATGAATTGATACTGCTGTGTATTCGTGCCTATTAACATCATATAGAAATACTGGAGTGCACGTATAGGCAAGACCCTCAAGCAACACAAGTATGGGATAGTGATTTTATTTTCTACCAACCTATTATGATGAGACTCTTCAAACAGTTTGTATGTAGGAGGGATTTCGGGAATTTTGATAGGGGGGTTGCCATGAACATTGAACCAAAGACGTCGTAATGCACATGTCTCGACTTCGGTATCAGTATTGCGTAATCAGTGCGATGTTACAAGCCCATCCCGCACTCGACATGTACGATGTCTCATGTGACCTGACAAAGCTGACATCCCGTTCTTAAAATGCAATTTACGAAGGGAGAACAAAAAAACTCTTATCTATCATGTGATATGAAGAAGGTTGCCTTCGCCACAATAGGTAACTCCTCAGCAAGCACTACCTTGGTACTAGGGTATTGTCCTCCGTTGGTTCTCTCCACGCTGTGCCATCCGCCTCTGCCCATTGAATGTGTTTTCAATGGCGAGAATCATCGTTGGATGGAAGTGCACTATTTGAATGACATATATTCGGCTTCAATCCATCCGCTCATCGACAATTGACAATTGACGGAAGAGGTGGCGTGGCGGCTCGCGGAAAGAAGAGAGGGGTCCTTCCCCGCGATACCAGTGTTAGTAAGGTACTACTGCCTGCAGGTTAGTGGTCCTGCCCCCCGCGTCTGGGGGCTCAGATAGGGGCTCGGGGTACTGTAGCTAAGGGATTTTCAGAAGGTACCTGCGCCTGAGCCCGGATCAGTAGGCATTGGTCTGTACCAGCCTATCTTCACACAAGTGGCCGTCCGGGCTCCATCGCTCATCCGGAATCTTGGCAACGCGGGCTTGACATTGGGACATGGCTACCGAATATAAACCTGGACCGCTGCTCCATACTACTGCTACTACTCCCGCTCTCTGCCGCTCCTCCACCCCTCGATTCTCGTAAGCCCTCAAAACCCGTCTTAAACCGAGGCATGCGTCGCCAACCCATCGTACCACTGGCACACTAGACCGAGAGACCGAGCGCAAAGCCAGCCAGCCAGAACGCCAGAACGCCATCGCCGACACGGGGACGAACCATGTCACAGCAGCTTCCCTTCCCTTCCTCCACCGCGTCGCCACCGTCGTCGTCCCAACATCTTCACCATCGCCAGCTCCATCATGCGACGACGACGACGACGACAACCCCCGCCGAGCCAACTGCCCCTGGTGCCGCCATCTCCGCCGTAGCCAGGAGCACGTCTCCCCCTCCCTCTCGGCTCCCTCATCCTGGTTCTGCTGCTTCTGCCGAGGCATCTTCCCATGCGGGCAGCGCGGCTCAGGACGCCAATGCCGACAGCGCGAATGGTAGTAACCACAATAGAAGTAACAGTTCCGGCCCAGCCCAGTCACAGCACAAACGCGTCTACCAAGCCTGTATCCCTTGCAGACGCCGCAAGGTTCGCTGCGATCTAGGCAGCGTTGACAACCCTCATGACCCCCCTTGTATGCGCTGCCGTCGCGAGAGCAAGGAGTGCTTCTTCAGCGCCACGCGCCGTAAGCGCAAGAACGATGATGACGCCGAGGAGTACCAGGATGAGTACATCATCCGCAATGGCCGGAAGCGCCACTATCTCGACGGCACACCTCCCGTCGCCACCGAGGAGGAGCGGACGAAGCCTTTCAATCCTGTGCCCTTGACGCCCGGTGGCTCCGTGGGCAGGAATCAGCCCCTCAGACGCACTGATGGCATTCACGATATCCACCCTTCCGCTACTGATGACCCGCGCCGCGCCAGCTATGCAGAATCTGTAGAAGATTCTAATGCCCAGTTGGAGAATCTCGAGGCCCAGAATGTGATGAGGAAGGGCATGTATGGGCCTCATGATGCGCTCGATCTTCTATACAAGGCTGCTACCGATAAGTATGCACATTCTCTTTTTCTTCCTTTCCTTGATCACTCGCTCACAGTCCCAGCAGTCCACATACGATACAGACCCATCAAGAAGCTACTCCTACTACGACTATCACGCCAACCATACTTCAGCCTGCTTCTCTAGCCTCACCACCTGGACGGAAGACCACTCATATCCAGGCTCCCATTCGTGATAGTCGACCACAGATACGGACTGCTAAGTCGGCGGATCCTATCGACCCACGTTTATTACCTTCTGACACCCAAGATGAGAAAGCTCAGATCGAAGCCCGCCTCAATGTTGAACACGAACCTGGTTATCGGGAGGCCCTTGGTGCCTGGGCTAGGTTTCGATTTGTTCGAGCTGGTTGGTTCACCAAGGAGGAAGCCATCAAATATATTGTATAGTATGTTCATTTAACCACCTCAAGAGAGTATATCTTCAGTGGAAAGCAATGCTAATCACACTCGGGACTGTCAGCTACTATGAGTATCTATCTCCTATGACACCGGTCTCTCCACCTACATTTCGTAGTCCTGGATCTCATATCACTCTACTAACCGAGGAGCCCATCCTTGCGGTTACCTTGCTCACCATCGCGTCGAGGTATTATAGCATCACTACCACGGGAGGTCATTGCCGGTCACATGCCATCCATGAAGAGCTTTGGAGGTATCTCCGGAGAATGGTTGAAAGATGCCTGTGGGGTCAAGAGGCTTTTGGTGGAGGCTTCTGCGGATCGGGTGCGGATGATTCCCAGACCTCAAGTACAGCGCCGTGGCGTGGCTTGCGCAAGGGCAGTTTGCGAACGCTAGGCACTATTGAGTCACTCATGATTCTAACTGAATGGCACCCTCGAGCCCTTCACTTCCCGCCCGAGGAGGCTATCGATGAGCTTATGCTTCCGTCCCGTGACCTCCGTATGTCGATTTCCGGGGAAGATGACGCCGCAGCACGACCCGGTGGTAATGTTGGTGGGCAGAGAATTGAGAGCTGGCTTGAACCCGCATGGAGAAGTGACCGCATGTGTTGGATGCTGCTCAGCAATGCTCTGGGTCTAGCTTACGAATTAGGCGTTTTCGATGATATTGATGAGCTACTAGCCGCTAACGCCATCACACGACCTGAATATGAAGATGAGGCGTACCGTCTTCGCGCGATGCGCATCAAACGACTACTTTTGATATACCTCACACAGCTGGCCGGCCGTCTTGGTTGGACCAACATGGTACCAGAGAGCATCAGGACTACGGATCCTGTCTTCTCTAATAACAGACGTCCGGTTACTAATGAGGGTACGACGCCTGGAACTAATCCATCTGTGCTCTCAAACACTTTTAGCTATGTACCTGACGTCGAATTAGATGACCAAATCATCCAGTGTTGGGTCGGCGTAAGCAATGCCATGCATCTAGGAAATGAAAGAATTTTCAAGTCTCGAAAACACACAACCGAGATAATACAGAGCGGCAGGTATACTAGCATACTCAAAGACTTTCAACCTATCCTACGAGAGTGGTGGCGCGAGTTCGAGCGATTCCGTCTTCCCGAGTTTACGCGTCACATTCTAATTATCGAGTATGAATATGTGCGGATATATATCAACTCGCTTGCGCTGCAGGCCGTCGTGGAACGATGCACAACGAATGCAACGGGCGCCTCTTCCACTAACAACGGCCCTCATGGCACTCGTGCACATGGGAATTCTGAGTTATCACCGCAGACACAAAATTACCTAGGCAACTTACCAATTGGGCACCTAGGTGGATTCGGCGCAGAGGACCAAGAATATATAAGAGAAGTCGTTTCAGGTTGTAGGAGCCTGCTGCGAACCGTTGTAGATGGTTTATTCAAAGGCGGCTATCTCAAACACGCCCCCGTTCGTACATACTTCCGAATCATCAGCGGGGCCATGTTTCTCCTCAAGACGTTTGCGCTTGGCGCACCCAAGTCAGACGTCGAGACCAGCATCAGCCTACTGGATAGGACTGTGCACGCGCTGCGGACCTGTGTTGTAGACGACATTCACCTAGGCACACGATTTGGTGACTTGCTCGAATCACTCACGACACGACTTCGAGATCGTTTCAAGTTCGCCGCTACCACTGCTGTAGATGGGAAGAACTCGGTGCCTAACGGCGATTTCGGCAAGGCTCGTAGCATCAACGGCCACTTGGCGCCAATAAGCATGGAGAATGGATTTTCAAGCCATGGCGTCAAATTGAGGGATGGTCTCTTAGTACCGGGTATGTCCTGCCCACTAATTCCTGCTCACGTGCCTTCTACTAATGCTCGGATTCTATAGAACGCTCATCGACTCCCTCGGGCAATATCTCAGCCACGCCCTTCGACATATCCTCCGGAAACTTCCATTTCCCCGTCGGCAACGCGAACATGTTCGGGGCGGGGCTCAACCAGGCTTCTTCCTCCAGCGGCGTATTGGACTCCTCGTCTGCCGCGGCGACAGGTCTCAGTGATAATATATTCGAGCCAGGCGCAGACTGGACCACGGACGAGATGTGGTATCTCCCGCCCGGCGCGGGCCTGTTCCAGAACGTGGGGGAGAACTCCAACGTCACTATGACGGACCAGGGCGTCAATGTCGGCGGGATCGACCTGCTCGAGTTCATGGCTATGGATCCGCCGAACTTTAATAATCTTGATACTGGCGGATATTAGTCAACTACCTCACTAGCTAGTCTGAGTGCTTGCTTTAGCATTTTGTGTGTTTTATCTGGCTTTGTGGTGAATTTTGTTTTGTTTTGTTTGGGGGCCGGCGGGGAGTTCTAGTGATTTCTTGGATGGAAGCTCGTGGTAACGATGTGCGTTTTCTTGGAATGGAAGTATGGTTTACCCGGGTTGATATGATATTAGGTATTGATGAGTTATACATGAGGTCAAGCAATATAGTACGGCAATGGCATGTCAGAGGGTGGGATATAAAATGGTTTCGCTCTTCCTTTTGCTTTTGATTTTGTTGCTATGATTGATAGCTTGAGCTGGAAGTGAAGTGAAGTGAAGTTACGGTTTGATACCGGTATATTGCGGGTTAGTTAGTCTCTGGTTTGGAAGCATACCTAATGAAATGAGGACATGCACTTTTTCAAGAGATTCCCTCCCGTGTATGAATCTGTTGTTATTTAGTTCGTGGGTTGAAGTTTGCAGGTGTGGTTAGGTATTGCTTATATTCATGGCTATATACCACTTCCGTTATTAAATCTCCTTTGAGCTCCCCTGAAAGGAAGGCGGGGGTTCTGAATTCGACAAAATATATCTATCTATTGGTGCGAAGGTGTTTATGTGAAACTGCATGTTCTTGCTAGATACCTAGGTACCGAGGTAAGGTAGGTAGGTAGGTAGGCAGGTAGGTACTATGATAGGTATCAAGCTGGCTTGAGCTAAGAATGCAGTGCAGCGCAGACACTTTCCTCGAAAAAGCTCATCTTGCCATGCTCACCGAAACTGCGGTCTGTCAGGGAAAGTATACCTACCTAGATGGTGTGATACCAGACTCCAAGGGTAGCTTGGTATGCTGAGCCTCTCTTTCTCTATGAGGATTTACCGCTCTAGATATCTGAAAGTCTTAAGTCGGGTTCTACAGTATGGGTTTAGTATGAAGCAAGGGATGAACGGCCAGCTCAGCTGATCAACTGGAGTTCCCAGGTCGTCGGTGAATTTTAAGATATTGAAAATCTCCTTTATAGGATATGACTTCTTAGGAAGTCGTTCTTTAATAGGGTAATTAGGTAGGTGCTCAATATGAATTTCCTAATCGATAAGCACTGAGGTAAGCATTCTGAGCTCGCATGGGCTAAAAAGGCAGTGCCCGTTGCAGCCGGGCGAGCGTGGGCTAAAAAAGCAGTGCAAGGTTGAGTCATACTTAGAATTTAAGCTATATTAGTCTTATTATGAAGCAAGGGATAAACGGCTAGGTAGCTCAGCCAACCAACTGGTCTTCCCAGCTTGTTAGCAAAATTTGAGACATTGACAGTCTCTCTTGCAGGATGCGACTTCCTAGGAAGTCGGAGTAGATAGGGTCGTATAAGAGAGCATAAACCTATCATTTCTCAAGATTTGTAACTTCCTCGCTACCCTTTGGAACCCATGAGAGGATATCAGTCTAAAGAACAAAGCTTTAGGAGAGAACAGGGTAATTTGATGTAACTAGTGGAAAAATAATGTTTATTTCAAGGTGATGATAGATAGACTGGTATACAAACACAAAGAGACATACATCTACCCACTACACTACACCACACATATATACTACGCATAGACATGCAATGCCCTTTAAATCTGGCCTATGAGTTCACAATAAATCTCTAGGTAGGTTGAGGAAGAATCTCGTGTGGTATGCATGGAGTGGAACGAGATGGGTGAGATGAAGCTAGCTTCTGTACTTAAAACGTTTCCATTAACATCATGTTATGTTTTCGTTCAGTAGGTAGCTGGGCAATGCCATGTAAATAGGCTACAAGGTGCGATAACTTCTGGCCTTCGCTACCTTTCTTCTCTCATTCTTCCGATAACTGTGTTTTATACACACATTGTGTTCGGCATGTATGCATCAACAAGCCTTTGCGTCCATTCCTGGAGACCATTTACATATGCCGATTGGAAAGGGTCACTTTGCTGTTTGTTCTTGGGAGTCAACCGTATGTGGCGAATTCGACACATAGCAGATGAATACCTTGCCGACAGCGCTAAACAGGCAGTTCCGAGTCGGATTTCATGACCTTACTCACAAGACGAGAGAACGACATATCTGAGTCTCCATTCCGTATTCATCGTTTGTCCAGAATAATAGTGTCATCCTTATGACCTACGACTCAGCCATCTCGACTTCTATAGTCCGCGTTTCACGAGCCACATCATCGACGACATCGTCCATCATGTGGTTCGTGTTACCGACATCCTCGAGGACTTTTTCTAGAAGAGAGACCAGCGACTCAATCTCAGAGCGCTGACGTTGGATGTCTTCGAACAATTTCGCATTGTGAGCCTGTGTCGTCTGTAACTTTGCATTAAGCTGTGACTGCTGTTGCGCTAAGTGAGGTGCCAGGTGTGCGTCTAGGATTTCATCTGGTGGTAGCATATGCGGTCTTTTGGATGCGAGTTGGTTAGTGAAGAGAACTGATTATACATATTCAATGATGCAAGCTGAGTGAAGTGATGCTAATTGTCCACCGCCACTGATAGTGTAGAAATGATCAAGAGAATGACACAGCATTAGAACGAAAGGAAGAAATGAGAATGAATATTAATAGGAGACAAAGGAACAAGTAAAAAAAAAAAAAAAAAAAAAAAAAAAAAAAGAGAATGTAAAAAAGTGACAAAACGTACAACACCAGGGATTCGCTGGTCGTCACCGACCCAACTACTAATCTGGCGGTATCTGGCTTAGCTATGGGGGAGCGGACGGGACCCCGCGTTCTCCAGATCCTATGGTCGTACGTGACAGTCTGTACCTCAATTACAGCTTATAAAGAAGTCTTAGGTCCAAAAGTAGGCCCCGCTTTCAGCTCCCATTTTCCATTCTTCTGCATCATACACCATGAGAAGCGAAAATGGGAAATGGGAATTGAAGAAAAGAAAAGAAAAAATATACACTTACGGCACCGGAGGATCCACCCCGCCATCATCGCCAGCCTCTCTCCGCCTCCTCTCAGCTTCGCTAACCAGACCCTCGAGCTCGTTGAGTTTAGCGACGACATTGCGCGACTGCTGTATCGAGTCGAATTCTTTCTGCAAATAATAACAACAATTCACTTATATGTCAGTCCTCCATCCACAATCCACAATAGATAGATAAGCATAAAACAAACAACGGAGTATGATAACCACCAAGCAAAAAGAAAGAAGAAAGAAGAAGAAGAAAAAAACACACCTTACACAACGCCCTAAGCCTCTCCACCATCTGCGACTGCACAGCGCGCAGCGTCGCGGGCGCGCGGGCCGCGATGTGCGGATAGCATGCCGCGAAGTTGTCCCAGCTGATCTTGGCCAGCGTGTGCGAGAGCGCCGAGTCGAGCGTCGTCTGGAAGCGCGAGGCGCGCGGGCCCGGCGTGAGCATCACGTGGCGGGCGGGTAAGGGGGAATCTTGTTCCTGTTGTGTCTGCTGCGCTTGTGATTGCTGTGTCTGTGTCTGTGTCTGTTGCTGCGGTTCGGTGGCGCTTTGTGTTGTTCCTGGAGGGGAACGGGATGGTTCCGACGCCATTGCTGTTGTCCTATTCTCTCTATATATCTCTCTGCCTTTTCGAATGCTGTTATTCGGGACTTGATATTCGCTTGATTCTCTTCGTTCGTCGGTCGTGTGATCGATCTTATTCGATTCGATGTAATATATAGACTATCGCTGTCTCTTTCCAAATGGTAGATGGGCAAGAGCAGGTAGACTGGGGCCTGCGAATGTACGCAATTCGCCGATAACACAGCACTCGCGAGGAGCAGATCCGAATGCAAGTTTATAGGCTCAGCAATCAAGTAGGTAGATTACCGACGGCTTTTCGTACGCTTATACACACTCTAGTCGGCTTCCGACTTGATAATTGATTCCAGACGCGTCCTGACGTGCGACTCGCGCCCCTCCAAGACGCCAATTAAAGGCTTATCGATAAGAACGAGCTGTAAGCTCACCGTGGTCCGCTAGTCTAGTTACTACCCGGAACATTCACATGTGAAAGAGGGCAAGGAATATCCAGAATGACACAACTCAATAGCATGAGTCTACATACATGGCACAAATACATGCTAAGAGATTATTTTTAGGCAACTTTGATCAGTATATTCATTCATGGCCAACTTCTCGTTATAATAACTTGTACAGAGAATGTCCAAATTCTACCAATACAGTAAAGCTTCATAGGTTCGTTCTGGATACATTTAGTTTTTCATCAATTCCAATTCACGTCATATCCTACCTAGTAGTTCCCTCATGATACTGCCATCTCGGCGTCGAAAGCTGGGTATGTTTGCCATGCTCAATGCTAAACAGATTAAGAATGTTTTCCATGGAAAGAAAGAAAACGCCATAACACCGCATGATGAATTCGCATTCTGGTCTCGTGGCCGATACCATCTAGGTGAAGTCAACTGTGCCTTGCGAAGGTCTTGCATCCCGATTTCTCTCTAACCGTCTTCTTTGCCGCCGCTCCGCTGCTGATGTTGCTCCCGACCCAGGTGGCCGCGGGTTCGTGATTGGCCCGCTGGGCGTCGGGCTCAGAGCGCTCCATGTTCCATGGCTGGCAGGACTGCCGACGCTGGAGACTGTTGGCGCGCCCAATGGCGACCCGGCCGATGGACCAGGCTGGCCAGAGTAATATGCTGAATCTTTGCCTCCTCGTTTTCCAGCAAACGCTGGTGTCGGTGGCGGTAGGGGTGATGACGCAAGGCGCTCGGCCTCTATCTCATCCGCAGTCCGTCTTGCGCTTCCATCTCTTCGGTATCGTCGGTGGCCTGGCGTCTCTTCTCCGGACAGGCTGCTTATTGAGGCTGATCTACCTCTCCGGTGCTCACGATGTGCCTCCTCTTCAGTAAGTCGTCGCAACGTTACGTTTCTGTCTCGATCATCGTGATACTTAACTTTGATTACGCTTTGCGGCTGACTGACTCGGCTGCGATCGCGCTCTTGTTCTGCGGCTAAACCGGCAGCGCTACTGGCCGCAGCAGCGGCCGCCGCTTCGCCATCCCTCCGGCGGCGTGAGGAATCCCGTCGTTGTGGCCGTCCGCCTCTAGACATGTGTGACTCGCTCCCAGAGCCTTGATGCAGGGAAGCCAGCACGCCTTGAGGGTCTGGTGGCATCGGTGGCATGACGGCAGGCTCAATATTGTGCCTGGACCGCGATCTCGACCTGGAGCGCGGTGCAGCAACAGGAACAGGCGGCGCATTTCCCGCTGCTAGTGGTGGCATGGGTGGGCCTCCAAGTGAAGTGCCAAGTGGCCGTGCTTCGATATAAGAAGACTCCGTGTCCTCTGACATGATGGTATTGGTGAGTGCGCTGGGTGGCGGTCGGCGTCTCGATGACCGAGTTGGAGTGCCGTAACCATCTCCCGTATACCTTGACCCATGTCTCCCGTCTCGTCGTTCTTCTTCCAATCTTAACCTCTCTTCCTCCGCTCTTTTATTATCCCGGCGACCCTTCATCATATTTGCAAACCAGCCGAGACCTAAGCCGGCGAGGAGTCCCTTACCTGCTCCGCTATGCTGTTCCTCCTCTCGTGCGCGTCTAGAGGGGCTTACATAGGAAGAGTAGTCCGAGTAAAGCTGACTATCGAGCATAGATGTTGCCGTTCGAGCGTGCGAGGCCTGTGGAGTGGACGGTCGTGGGCCTGCAGCACTCGATGCTGCACCAGGTCCAGGTAAGAGTGGCGTCCGCGGCCGTGCATTAAGCTCCGTTCGATCCTCTGTGAATTCTGATTCCGTGTAATCGTCTTGGCGTTTCCTTACAGGTCGTGTATGACCATATCTACCAGGCGTATCTGTTGAAACCGCCGAATACTCTTCATCGTAATCCCGGTTATTTTTCCGGGCAGTAAACTTTTTGAGCAAGGCTCCAGCCCCGATGATGCCTCCTACACCAAGCAGCTTGCCCATCAAGCCACCACCTTGGCGATCTGTTTTCTCAGAGTACCTGTCATTTGTCATATAGTAGCTTGTGGAGCCCCTTCTTGAAGGGATCACCTCAGGAGTGCGGCCGCTTCGAGACGGGGACCCGCTACGACTGTGACTCCCTTCACTGCCGCGTTTTCGTCTGCGAAGAAGTGCCCAAGCCCCGAGTCCTGCGAGCAGAGGACCGAGCCACCCGAATCCTCGCTTTGATTTCACTTCGGAGTGGGTAACACCGGATTCTGATCGTCCACCGTGCGAGCGGCCTCCATACGTGGTGATGTTATCGTCCCAATCGTTTTCATGCCGCCAACTTAGGATGAAGTATAGAAGAACCAGAAACGCCATCCACAAGGCATATAAGATGAAGATAAACTTTGGAGACCCATAGAGGGTTAGGCCAAGGGGGATTTGTACCACTCCGAGGATGCCAACGACGCCTCCAAACCAACGATGGATCATAAGTCTCAGTGACTTTTTGAAGATCTTCCTTACCATGCTGCCTCCAATCGCTTGTGTTAAAACCAAGACGTAAATAGCGACGCCGATTCCATGGTGAGGATTTGTCAAAGCGCGTTTGGGACCGACGGCGAAGAAGCCGAGAATGAATACGACGGTGGCAAGAAGCACGGTGAGGACCTGCAGATATGCGTGTATGCGGCGGCCTCTTCTACGGTCCGGATGGAACCTCACAAACATAATGGCTACTGGAACAATGAATAAAAAGGTGATGGCTGCGAGGACTCCATGGCCAGTGATTAGGGAGTGATATTCTTTGAGTGTTGAGAATCGATTGCCCATGCCTAAATAGTGTCAGATGAGCTGATGATGGCCAGTTTGGACTTGCATGGACGACGTACCATTATACTGCATGGTCTCGAAGTTGAGGCCGACCAAGTTCGGCAGCAGGAAAGTGTTCTTGGTAAAGTCCCAGGTGCCGTCGCCAACGGTCATGGTGTCTGAATCATAGCTCGCCGACCCGGGGGCTGACAGCCCCTCGGCGGGCGCCATAGCGGCGGCAGAATGTCGTCGTAGGGGAAGTTGGACCCAGTAGCCGAACGATTGATATCAACGAAGGGAAGAATGCGGGTTGATGGAGAGGAATGCGGATGTCTCGGGGGGTCAGTCGTAATCTCAGCAACCGTATCAACGGGTTCAAGAAGGAATTGGCGGTGGGTGCCCTACTGTAAGCGCGGGGTTCTATCTGAGATGGTGTCTAGAAATGCTGTCGGCAAACAGAATCACAGGGTTGACGATGCTGCGTACAAAAAGAGCAAACGCCAAAAATAAAAATAAAAATAAAGACAACAACAGTTCGCAGGTTGGAGTTAGCCAAGGGAGCAGGGAGCAGAACACAGAGGCCAGCTGCATTTGGCGGTGGAGATGCAGACTGGCTAGGTGACATGGCACTGCAGAGCTAGAACTGGCAGGTTGTTTTCCTCCAGGGCGCTGGCAGGTTGCGGGGACGACGGGTGGAGCCGGTTCCGCTGTCACCTCTTTTTTTCCCCTTTTGGGATTAATTAAAAGATTAATTGAACTAGCTCTAATGACCGGCCCGCCAGTCACATTCTTGACAGCCGAGACAGCTGATGAACAAAATTCAATCAGAGGTCCCCGAGTGGTCCCAACAAAAGTCTGAGTCCACCTTCATTCTCGAAGACACAAAGACACAGAGACGGAACAGAACAGAACCCACGACAGCAGAGACTGGCCAGGAACAGGGGTTGATTCACAGCTGGCCTGGCCATGTGTACCGGGACAGAAAGCCCCCACCACCATATCCCGAGGTAATGTGCATCCATGACTAGTAGGTATCTGCCTAGGTACTTACACATAGATACCTACTAGGTAAGTGTAGGACTTACATAGTACTTATGTAGGTACCTAGCTGATGCCAAGTTTTAGGTATGCAGTTGCGATTCGCTTCCGAAGTTAGATGCTTCTAGAATTAGGTAATTCGATTAGTCCCCAGGCACATACATGTTTTATCTGTAACAGCAAGCCTTCCAAAGATCAAACCCGAACTAAAAGCAGGTAGGCCCATTAGTACCTACCTAGGTATATCATGTATGAGATCACCCTTCAATAGCCGCCCACTAAAACTCACCCCCATCCCGCCAGCCCGTAGCAGCTACCTAGGTACCTACTCCCTTCCTATCTATCTCTCCATGGACTAAACGCCGTTATTCGCTCCAGCCCGCGTGCGTGCTCTCATAAAATCCAAGACATGTCTCCTTTGTTAAAAAGGTAACCTTCCACTCCCAACCTTGCCCGGCGCACAGCCGTGAACTTGGCCACAGCAATGTCGACAGCTCGCCTGACTTTCTTGTATCCCCATCTCTTGCGAGCTGCTCGCCTAGCTGAGTCCACGGCAACACAGCCCGCGAAGACCCGATATCGCACCCGGCCCCGTCACTCCAGCCAGTACAACACCCCTTCGTTTTCCACCTCCGCACGACGCCGCCAGGCACCCTTTGAGAGACATGGCAGTGCTGTTGAGCCCTTACCAGTTGCTCCCGATGTCGTGAAACTGCCCAAATCCGACACGAGCGCCGCTCCCCGGCTGCCCGATCCGACCCCGGACCCATCGCTTGACAAGACTAAGAAAGGGTCGGCCGAGAACGGCAAAGAGTCGGATGCGCCGCAGCAAACCGACGACATTCCACCTAGCGATGCGACTAAAGAGGCCACACCAGATGGCAAGGACGCGGCCTCGACAGGGCCCCCCAAGGCCACCCCGGATGAGACGATAGAGCGTAGCGGGCCAATGGAGGCAGTCCTTCACATGCCGCCTCCAAACGAGTCACAACACCCTCACATATCTAAGCCCACCTACGTGCATCATTTCGATAGCTACACGCTCGTGAAACAGCTACAGGTTGGCGGTTATACCCAGGCCCAGGCCATCACCGTCATGAAGGCCATTCGGGCACTCCTGGCGCAAAACCTGGATGTCGCGCAGGAAGGATTGGTGGGGAAAAGCGATGTCGACAACGTAGGTCTTGGGGGATGTGGAAGACTTGTTTCACATCGCTTACTTCTGGCTTACAGGAAACGTATCTCTTCCGCGCTGCGTGCTCCGAACTCAGCTCCGAGGTCACAAACAACAGAAGGACTGCCGACGAACAAATGCGCCAACAACGAACTCAATTGCAACATGAAGTCGACATCCTCAGTCAGAGCATGTCGCAAGACATCATGACGCTCAAGGATGATGTCAAGGGTATGTTCAACGACCGGAGGATGAATGTGCGAGAGGAACAGAGGAACATGGAGAGCGCTGTAAGTAAATTACTCATGCTACTTTGGTCCGTCGTACATAGAATTAGCTAACTTGATCACCAAGATTCAAAAAATCAATCTCAAGATCAGCGTTATTCTAAACAGCGACTCAAGATCCGAAATCGAAGGGCTGCGCTGGGTGCTGATCAGGCGGTCTGTTTTAGGAATACTATTCATGGCAGTCCTAACCCTGACGACGATTCGGTACACCACATATCTCAGCCACGAGAGACAGCGGGAAGCGAAAGAGAAGGCACAGCTAGAGGAAGAGCAGAAGAGGACCGGCGGCAGAGAAGATCGTGCAGCGCCCATAGATGCGGCGGCGATCCTGGCGGCGAATTGAGTGAAGAAAATAAAAAATAAAAATCGTGATACCCTTGGATATAGACAGGCAAAGCGGTACATATAGATAAAAACAAAGTTGCCACTAGTAGTAGCAACGCTTTGGGTCAATAGAACACCTTTTTGAATATGTAATGATGTGATGATGTATCTTCCGTTTCACCGTCCATTTTTCACATGGATCAAACAGAGAGCAATGTCCTTCCAAATCACGCCCGAACGCCATGCAAATAATGCCCCTTACCGCACCAAGACCGAATCCAATTCAATCCCGCGCCCCTAACCCCTATCATCCCTCTTCTCAGCAGCAAACTCCCTATCGAGAGCCTTCCGCAGCCTCTCCTCCTGCCTCTTCCAGTGCCCGCCTTCCTCGTAATCTCGGCTGATCTTCAGGGCGCTGCGCAGCCTCTCGCTCTCCTTGATCTTAGCGTCGGCGAGCTCGTGGACTTGGTGCGACTTCAGACCTTTCTTCGCCCCGGCGCTGCCAGACTTGTTGTGATTGTTGTTGTTGTTCATCTTTTCGCGGAGTTCGGTGCGGAGGGCGTCGCACCGGCGGTCGATCTCTTCTTCTTCGATGCTTGGAGGGAGTTAGTACTTATGACCGACCGGCTTAATGATGATGGTCTTTTCGTTTTCATTCGTTTTTTTTTCTCGCTTTCTTTCTTTCTTTCTTTTACTTTTTCATCCCTTACTTCCACTAGCTGGGTAGTTGGGGAATATAGGGAAGGGAGAGAAGCAAACGACGTACCCTTCGTCCTCGAGCTGGTCTCGTAGCTCGAATACCTTGACTTCGATCTCGCGCTTCCGATCATGCTCGAGAATCCCCTTGTCGGGCTGTCGCTGGCGGTGCTTCAGATGGTCTAGGTCGCGGGGGTATGGAGCTGCTCGGTCGCGGTCGCGAGGCCTCATGTGCGCGAGGTTGCGCTGCACGTAACCGGATGTGCCGCTACCTCGTGGCGTGGACAGTCCTACATTGTCTGACATGACTTCGATGTCTATTTGAGGCTTGGGGAGGGATTGATGCAATAGTTGGCGGTGGTAAGAGAATCAGATGACGATGTGAAAGATATCTAAGGTATCGAGACCTACCTAGGTAGGTGGTGATAGAAGCTGTTAAAGACATAGTACAGGGGCTCGCAGTGTACTTACAGGGTACTTAAACCAGTCTTAGGTGGCGGGGTCCCTGGGGATAGGTAAGTCTAGGTATTATTTGCCCCGCGGTGACATAGACTTTCTCAATGCCTGCCGCTTGACTCATCTTATTTACCTGACTTAAGACTGTAGAAGAGCGCAAGCGTCTCATCTTGTATTCGTCGGACTTCATAGCTTCGCGAAATCATCTTCTTTTGTTCTAAGAACTGCTTGAATATATCAAAATGCCCTCCTTAGCTCAGCCACAGGCTGGCCCTGCGTCCGACGCCCCTCCCACCTTGCAGTTTCCGCCCATCACAAGAGATCACATATTGAATTGCTCATATGATTCCTGGTTTCAAAAGTTTGTAACTCTGGGTGAATCTATGAAATACTGAAGAACTAAAACAATATTAGATATCGGGCGTCTTGTATAAAGTCCAGGATTATTCCGTTATCACCAGAGTTCGTCGAGTATATACGTGAGGATGGCATCATCCTTGCTGATGAAGATGAAACTGAGTCCGATGACGAGGAGTGGGAATCTACTCCTTCAACTTTTCGACCACCTATCCATGAAGTCGAATCCGACTCGGATAGTGACGACGAGGATGAGCCTCCAAAAATGCCTCCAAACAAGAGGTTTCCTGACCTACACCAGTTAATCAAGGATAAAATCGCTGAACTGGGCGGTGCTGTTGCTCCAAAGCTCAATTGGACAGCGCCTAAAGACGCCACTTGGATATCACCACACCAAAATACTATCAAGTGCACATCCCCTAACGACGTGTACCTGTTGCTAAAGAGCTCTAACTTCATCACTTACGACCTTGAACATGCGTTCGACGATTGCACACCGACAGCCAACTCAAATATCAGTCAACCGCCCTTCAAGCCAGTGTTAGTCCTAAGGTCGTACTTCAACCCGCACACAGCCATGGAATTTCGCTGCTTCGTCAAGCACAGGAACCTCGTGGCGATATCACAGCGGGACCTCAACTACTTCGAGTTTCTGCAGCCTCTCAAGGCCGACATTATCGCAAAAATCTACCAGCTCTTCAACAATAAGCTGCGTTATACGTTTCCCGACGGCAACTTTGTCTTCGATGTGTACATTCCCGAGGGTGAAGACGAGCCCCTGAGCCGGGCGAGGCTCATTGATATCAATGCATGGGCACCTCACACCGACAGCTTGCTCTTTGGATGGCAGGAACTTCTAGATTTAGTAGTTCCAGGTCCAGTACTCGGCGTCGTGGGCGAGGAAGGGAGCAAAGACCAGAATGGCAATACAGACAACGAAACAAGTGACGAGGAGGAAGATGACGAGGACTATACCCCTGAGCTAAGGCTGATCGAGGAAAGCGACGCAGCGGCGTATAACCTCGCCTCGCCGCAATATTCGGCGCACAAGCTCCCCAAAGACGTCGTGGACGCAAGTATGTCGGGAGAAGGTGGCATGCGCGAGTTCGCGAGGAGATGGAGGGAGATGACTGGTATGGAAAAACCCGCGAACTGGGAAACTAGCGGCAACGACTAGGGTTTACATCTATTCATTGTATTAGTTATAGATAGTAGGCCTTGAATCAATTTGCATGAGATCATATCCCAGCTTGTTGGCGGGAAGACATCCAGTTCTCAACATGTGTGTTCGATCCAGGGTAAAATGCATAGTGATTCGCATCGAATCGGATATGGCCAGACCCAAGTTTACTTATCTCTATCAGACTAGATATATAAAAGCAATATCAGATCCATATGAACTCCTCGAGTTCTTGGCACTCCGTCGCATTCGCAATCCATTTGCGGCATGGCGCGCGGGATAGGCAGAAAGGTTGCAGTTTGGCGTCGCAATAAGTTCTTCAGCCCTCTGAGCATGGAACCACGCATTTCAACGCCACAATCCCTGTCTTTGCCTAAAACGTAAAGCGAGTGCGAAGCTGGGACGTCGCTGATTGGCTTGTTCGTTAACAACCCAAGTCTTCATTTAGACAACTTCTATGTATGTAATGTAATGTATCTTGCATCGAGAGAAATCATCATCGTATTGGAAGATACGGTTTACGAAGGAAAATGCAGCGGCTCGGCGTCGGTCCATTTGGATACTGATGACGGAAGTGGCTCTGGCATGGCACTATGTGCCCTGACCGAAGCTCTGGAGCTGCGGCTCGAGGACGTGGATATAAATGTGTCGTTGCCAGTGATATATATATATGTATGCGATTAGGCTTCTTGATAGGTATATGCCGTGCTCATTGTCTTTCTTGAATAATACCCTCACACACAATAAATAACCTGGTACCTATCGGTTCACTTTCTGAAAGTTATCCAACCCAACCATAGCCACGATGAATTCAACCACGAACGAAATACCCATCATTCCCTTCGGTCCAGACGCAACATGTACCCTCGAATTATGCCCGATCGAGTACTCGATATTCCAATACCGGCCGTCTCTAGCAGCTAACACGACCTTCATCGCTCTACATTTCATCCTCATGCTCGTCCATCTCGGCCTCGGACTACGGCTCAAGCACTGGTGGTTCTCGGGGGCCACGGTGCTCGGGTGCGCCTTCAATGTCGTCGGTTACGGCGCGCGGGTGCTGCTGTGGCAGAACCCGTTTAGTTTTACGGGGTTCCTTTTGCAGATTAGTATGTCTCTCGTCCATTTCATTTTTTTCTGATACGTGTAATAGGGGGACGGATGATGTAATTAGAGAAGAATGGCGGAAATGTGGAAAAGGAGTTGATCTATTTACATTGCTTACACCATGATGTTGGATAGTCTTCGTCGGCTCGGCTCCCGTGTTCTACTCCGCGGCCATCTATGTAACGATCACCAAGACTGTCGAGAAACTCGACGAGTCCCTGTCGCGGATTAAGCCGAAGCTGTACTATGTGATCTTCATCATATGCGACATAGGCGCCTTGACCCTTCAGGCTGTAGGAGGGTACGTGATTATCGAACTATGAGGGGTGATTCGTGCATCGTTACACTGCTCCTATTCCCACTCCTATCCTTGATCTACACCGTTTCATCTTCATCATCGCTATCGTTTTCCTGTCCCTTCCCCCTCGTATCCCAATCAACGAACAAATAGAGTCATAATGTCAATTTCACATGAACCATTGAGTCTTGCAAATAGCAATGTCACACTAACTCAGTCTCTGCTTGATTCAGTGCCGTATCAACTGTCTCGAGCGGCTCGAACGCAGCCGGAGTCGACCTCGCTCTGGCCGGCTTAATATTTCAAGTCGTGACTATGTTAGCCTTCGTCGGGCTGCTAGCAGACTATCTGATCCGGTACTTCCAAGGCAAGCCTCTCGGAAGCATCAGTCTGCGACTGAAGGCGTTTCTCGGCTCTCTCAGCCTTGCCATCCTGCTTATCCTTGGGCGCTGTGCTTACCGCGTTGCTGAGCGTAAGTTTTTCTTTCCCTTTATCACCTTTATATCAATTCTGCCCATGTTATTTCGCTTCAGTTCATATTCACCAGGCAGGCTGATCGACTAATCCTTGTTCGAATAGTCAGCGAAGGATACAGCGGAACTTTGTTCCACGACGAGCCGTTGTTCATCGGTCTCGAGGGCGTGTTGATCGTTCTCGCTGTCGTCGCGCTATCTATCGGCCACCCGGGTTTTGTATTCAATGCCGACCAAGCGAAGCTAGGCGAGTCTTACCAGTCTTCCATGTCTTCGGGAGGTGTGGAGAGTGGGGTTGAACTTGTGGATAAATACAAGGGAACTAGTGAGTAGACCTTGAGGGAGATATAGGTGAACATAGGAATAGGGGAAATAGGGGCTTATTATATGTATTTGCCTCGTGAAGGCGGCAGGCTGAGGAAAGGGGTTTGTATCTAAGTTTTCTTTTTCGATAATTACTTTTCAGAATAAGATCTGGTTTTCCATAGGGTGAATCTAATATCGCTGTATAAATTTTTAAAAAGACAATATAGATCTAGCTTCAAAACCGATATTTTCGTCATAAGATATACAATGCAGAAGTATTGTCGCTGCCTATGATAAAGGGGTATACCAATAACACCACCGTCTACTCCAATTCCATTTCAAAATCCATTTCAAAATCTATATCCTCACATATCAAATCATTGTTTCCATGTTCATTATTATTCGCCCCGGGGTTTGTCGAACCAGCCTTTGTCGGCCCGGGATCATCTCTTAACTTCGACTTCCAGCCCGCGTCTACTAAAGGAGAATCACCCCGAGTGGTCCACCGCTGCAGCCCAGGCCCAGATATGGTTGGTATCCCCCTCGCCTCAGGGACTCGGGTAACGCCAACTGTGCCCCCGGGCCCAAGTGACGCCTTCGCCAGGCTGTATACGATAACAATTGTCTCAGCCGAATGTGTGCGCCGTATAGCATGCACGTCATCCCGCCATACGTGGCGGTCCCTTTCAGCTGCGAGTTCCAGGTGTCCGAGGCAATTTATCCAGATCAGCAATAACTCCTTCGCTACATTAAGGTCCTTCAACCGCGATTCCTTGGCGTACCAAGCCGCGATTTGCTCTCCGGCGTTGAAAACGTTAGAGCTGTTATCGAAGTATCCCTGATGCCTCAACCCATTGAGACCGGGTCTAGGAAGCTGAGGTTTTAGCGCTTCTCTCTAGATGGGGCGGTAGAGGTAAGAGACAAGGGGCGTCGTTGCGGCAGTATCCTCCTCATTGGCACCATCGCCGTGGCCGATAAGTAAGCGGCGTGGATCGCTGTATTCGAATCCAAACCGAGCCATAATTTTCTCAGCTTGAAAGAGGTCTTGAAGATCCGGGATAGCGCTGATATAGTCGGCCCGGAGGAAATAAGCGTGCACATATAGACGTTGGAACTCGAAGCGCTGCTCGTCAGATGTAAAGGGGAACAAATTTTGGTTTCGGCTGCTATTTTGGCTGCTATCAAGTTTCATCTTGTTTTCGAGGGCCGACCTTACCGCATCCATTGCTCTTAGTAAGCCAATTAAAGAGATACCAACGGCGCGCTCATCCACTGGAGAGATGGTCATTCTCGATTTTAGGCCTTTCAAGAGTGACAGGCTGCATTCGAGGCACGCTTCACCTAGAACTTTCGATGCTTTAATTATAGAATGGCTCAATATTTTGGGAATATATGATTCAACATCTCGACCGAAACTATTCGACACAAAAGGGATACCGAAATTAGCTGGGTCGTTCTTCGGTTGTTGGTCCTGTTGGAAGGCTTCCGCAGCAAGCAATAAGGCGCGCGTAACTTCTTTTGGATATGGGCTGTTAAACTTAGCACAAACGGCGAAGTAATCAATCGCCATCGAGAGATCGACACACGCCACTTGCTCCCGTGATATTCCGTCTCGAAAGAAATGCCACGGGAGCTTTAGGTACTCATCGACAGTCAAGACCTGAGCTAGGACAAGTTTTACGCGAACCTGGAGAAACAAAATCTCATTATGCACTTCACCAGTCTCTAGTGAGATGAATGAGAGAATTTTGTACAGCGTTGAAGCCATGTCCTGCTCGATGTTGAAACAGGTTCCAGAAATATGGTCCAAAGGGTAGGATGCATCTGGGGGATGTCGAAGCCATTTTTCAAAGATTTCGAGCGCGAAGATGACGAGAATCACCATGTAAACTTTTCGGGGGGGAGTCCAGGGAGGTGCTGACGAGTAGGTCGATATGCCGAGCTGTAACACATTCATGATCCGAACCAAAGCCATAGCATCCGATACAGCAACTGAATTACGTAACACTGTAAATAACTGGCTTTGGATGGCGTCGAGGGGCTCCTTCGTAGCAAATATACTGGAAGGGAAGACCCGAACGACTAACGGTGGATGTCTAAGAGCTATAAGTGCAGTCTCTCGCCTTAGTTCAAAAAGCAGGTGTGCAAGGAGAAGAGATCTGAGCTCCAACGGTAGGGGCGTTGAATCCGGCTTGGATCGTTGTAGCGCGTCAAGCATCTCCAGAAAATGAGGCGTAAACATTAGCATGTCCGCGAAGCGCGACATGTGGCCTGATGTTATTCCTTCGAGCGGGAACGCTTGGTATAGTATCAAGCTGCAGAGGCGTAAGACTCTGTTGGATTCCATCGGCTTTGGTTTTAGCCTCGCTTGTATCCATTCGTGAACGAGTGGGTGGACGGAGACGATTCTATCCTCGCTCTTGGACACGAGGGAGAGCGATATCAAGATCCCTAGAGATATCGTCGTCTGGGCACGACTCTGAAGAAAAGAGAGCTCATCACGCTGCTCGCTACTTAGTTGCCGAGTTGTCCCATGAGTTCCAACCACCCATGGTCTGATCGCGGAGGAGTCGCGCAGGATTCCTTCTGCAACACCCGATCGAGCAAAGAAGCCGAGCAGTTGAAGAAGTTCGGCTGCCTCGGGATGCTTTTTCCTAAGGTACGCTAAGGAGATCTCTCAAGTCGTCATTACAGATTCAGGATATTCCGGCCGCTCCTCTTTGAAGCGTAGAAGAATTTCCCGATCTGAACGCAGCCTTAGCATTTCTAAATACTCAGCACAGCTGAACGGCTCGTTTTCGCGTACATATGCAGCCGCTTGACTGATAGCAAGGGGGAAGCCATCCAATTCGGACACGATTTTCTTCACAATAGTGTGCTCAGGTTGCTCTCTAAGATTCTCAGCTGTGACGTTCTTCTGGGGGGAGCTGAGGCGAAGAAAGAGAAGCTCCGCCTCAGCAGACTGCGGCCTCTTCAGCTGAAAGCCCCCGTTAGAAACTGCACCAATGGCTCGCCTGTCCCTGGACGTGATGACAACACGGCCGACACCGTTTGGAATGAATGGCTCAACATCAACAGCTATCGTATCGTAGTTGTCTAGGACGATTACCCAGTTCTCGTGGGCCTGTATCCACGCCTTGACTAGAACTGTATCATCCCCTTCTCGATCATGGGATTTCACGAATTTTTGGGCATTCTTGTCGGATAAAGCGAATTTTCGGTATCGTCCGGCATTTTGCCGGTATTTTGACAGAAGCTCGTCCCGTGACCCTGCATTAAACCAAAAGATTGAGGCATGAGACCGTTCACGCAGCCTATGACACCATTCTGTGACAAGCTGTGTTTTTCTGAGGACATCGTCAGCCAGCCTACACAATCCTATTCAGGAGGTGCATTCTATACCCTACACCGCCGAGAATGACTATGCGCGTCTGCGTGTTTCGATCCTGTACCAACTTGACATCATCATCAGAGTACCAAGAGTTAAGCAATGCCAGTTCGGTATCCCTGCCAGAGAAACTATGATTCTGTATATTCTGGAAGCCGGACCTGTTAAAGGCTGATAGCCAAGCCATGGACGGTGCTATTTGACGCGTCAGCCGAGTCTGGTCCCAATATCTCCATCTTAACACACCGTTAGTACGCCCTCAACATTGGAAGAAGCAGTCCATGACGCAAGTCTAAGTAAAGTGTTAGCTTTAAAATGATTTACATTTGCAGCGAGTGGACTTGCTGTAGGGCTCGTGATTGATATCCAGCCGCCGGTATCACATCTCACGTTCCCGTTAACTGTTGTCGTGGTCTAGCTTTGCGAACCAATGTAAGTTGAATATGGTCCCGGGGATGTGCTTGCGCTTCGGGCTCGATAAATAGAGAATCGGGTAGTCAACTTTGAGTTCAAATCAATCGGGTTACTATCACTAGCACCCATAAGCCTGGGGTCTATTCCCCTTCTTGTAGATGAACTAAATAAGTACCCGGTGTATAGTTTGGTTCGACTGTTGGTATGATGTCGTAATTCACCTTCCGCCGCGTTCCGAATTACAACAAGGGCAGAGATTTGGACCTGGAACTTAATTCTATTCACAATACAATGATCTACTAGGACTACAAAAGTCCTTAACTAACCAATTCCTTCTTAACTTTAGTGGCCAGCTTTGACTTTGTATACAACTGGACTGCTAGTCCTAACCGCTTAGGTCCTATTGGCTTGTTTTATAAATTAAAGTCTGTATAACCTTATTTTCAATATTGTCAGCATGTCTTTCGAAGATGATGAGCAGCCTGCAATAGTCTACATTGCGCCCGTAGCAAAGGCGAACTACACGCTCAGCTTGTACACATGTGACATCAATTCAATAGGTTGCTAGAATCACCTCCCTTACTACAGTCTATGTTTAAGAACATAGCAGGCGTGCACATCTAGTTCTGCACAGGGTATATCTACGCCAGAGGCTGTCTCACCTACATCTATGGTGATAACAACTATAAGGAGTAATATATTAAAGCACATGGAAAGCTAACTTCAAACTCTTTTTAGCAGACCCCTAATATTTACGTTCTTCTCCCTTAAGGTCATCTGACTGTATATGTTGAGTGGCCATTTGAAGATGTTTTTTATATATACATGTGTATGTGTGTGAATACATCAAGTTCAGGACCACCTATGATGCTTGGGATTAAACTAGCAATGGATAATAGCAGAAATTACACTAATTAAAAATTAAAGAGAGTAAACCACTCCGCGTTACTCAATATGAACTGAACTTATTCTGCTCACTGCAGCTACCGAAAGGTTTTAAGAAGGCAGGTGTAAGTTATCATGTAAAATATGCTATGTTCTAAACTTTCTATTTATACACTGTTGTATGATCTTCTTTCAGTCCTTGCTCTTAAACCAAATGATTAAACGAGGCCACAAAGCAGGTATAGTTACATATAATATATAATCCACATTCATTTTTACGGTTAAAAGTACTTTTACGGCTTTAGTGGACCATAATATCGTGAATAGCACTAGGTTCCAGGCCCAAATCTATGTCCTTGTTATAAAGGTTCTTGGCCACCAGATTCCTTCCTGGCCTTGGTGGCTGACCTTGCTACTATAAAAAATTGTATGGTATTTGCCGGCCTCTGCTGAACTTCGAAACTTCAAAGTTCGGGATGTCCTATGCTAGCGAACTCCGTATAACTTCATATTTCGTATGTTTCACAGAGGGTCTTTTGCAAGTCGCGCGCACGTTCAGCCGTAGATGGGTAACAATTATCTATCTAGGAGGATCATCATGTTATCACTCCGATGCTTCAAAATCAAGGGATGAGTACAAGAAGGAATTTTTCCCCTCCAGGATTCTAGATCTGTAAATCAGATCTGGCCTAGTTGTGTCAGTCTATGAAACTGATAACAATAGATCTTCTTTGTCATAAGTAGTCCCAGGGGACATCATATAGTCAGACGTTGACTGTTGTGCGAATCTAGAAGGTGAGGAATGAAGGTATTCAGACTCCTTCTGACTAGACATGCCGGATTCTTCATTCCAAACCACTTTATGGGATGGGATAGTCAATGTAATGAGAACTAGCTATGGATAATTATATCGGTATTGCTGGGGCAGTTCCGTCGATAGCGTAAGCACTTCTCGAATCCTGACAACGCTGTAGGATCTGTTATTTCTAATCTAGAACTTACCAGACCCAATCACATGATGCATCCTATCGTGTTACAGATTGATTGACTGCATTCCCAACAGAACGGGTATGGGTCATACCGACCAAACTGAGCAGCACAGAATAATGCCACGTATAATATCCAAAGCTCATTTGAATCCCAGAAGATGCCATCGACAATAGACCCCGTGACATAGGGCTTAAGAGACAGTCAACACGCTCATATGTAAAGCCGGGGCGCTGGTCTACACGAAGTATGTGTATCGGCATTGCGCTTTCGGCACTTCGCAGCGCTAGCGCTTCAACTACTAAGCTTGGCTTTGCAACGTTGGCATGCACAAGTTCGCTTGCTCGCGTTGTGTTGCCAAGTTTCAAAGACCCATCAACTCACGGCACCGAGCCTGGACATCTTCAACTGCTTGATTTGACGGAGGATCGGACAGATCCTATACTAGCGCAGATGACCTTTCCGTTAAAGAAGTTGGTAAGATGCCTCCTCTGGATAGACTCTGGAGTAAACGGTTTAGATACCTAGCTCGTCAGGTTGACGACAGAGAACGATTTGCAAACAAGGATTTCAAACTGCTCGTTGTGGTAAGTCTCCAGCCATACCAATCGTGTACGCTCATACATGGTATTCAGCAAGAGGAAGCTGAGCCCTGTGTGTTCTCGTTCTCCTTGACACGTCAGGCCGGGTCCTCTGACCAGCTGCCCATATCAGCACTAGTCTGTCGAGTCCTGGCATCCTTCGGGTCACTTTGTAGTCACGCCCGAGGTTGTAGGATATACGAGTGTGCTAGCTACATATGCTTTGCTGTATTCACATAAAGACAAATGTGTGGGGAGAAACAAGAAATTCGGTGTTTCGGGGCATGCATCTAGGCGGATAGATGTGGGACATGATAACTGTCTACTGTCTCCACGAAACTAACTTGAATATTCACAGATACCTATCACACGAGTGGTGGGTAGACGAAGAGTTGGAATGATGTGTGTTGATGAATGAAATGCCCGCCGATCGAAGCCGTGAAGGGGTTACTTCGAATTTATTTATATAAATATCAGTTAACTACCTAGCCCATGACCAGTCTCCAAATTTCTAAACTTTATCCTAACTTTGGGTAACCTAATTCGCTCATATTGCATCATTTTGCGGCTCAATGGTGTACAGTAGGTAGGGATCGCCCTTCTCCAATCCCATAGCGTACACTACGTTAGGTGTTACACTACACATATTTGGAGAAATGACAACATGGATCATGTTCAATAACTACCTAAGCTCCTTGGGTGATGATAGTGACCTAACATATAAGAACTCCAAGATCGTATATATAATATCGAATAAGTGAATAGGTAGGTATTTACAACAGCCCACCTACTTCCAGAAGTCAAGTTACATCTGCGTGCATAATAATTGTGCACGACGGACGGAAGATGTAAAACCATACATAGCAGACGTGATGCAGATCGGCTTCCGGATGAGGAAGGGCCGCGCCCCGCTTCACAAAATTCACAGGCCGAAACCCAGGAATTACAAATGGGTTATCTTTCGCCGTTGTACCTTGTAGAGCGTACGCCACAAAGTTGTCCGTCTCTTCAGCTTGCAGCCATAAAACTTCAGTGTAGTTAATAAATAGTAGTAGGACCAACTTGGAGTTTCAACCAGGTAGCCTGGTTAAGTAGAAACCTGGAGGATGATGGATGAGTTTATCCACGACTTCTCATGTGCTCGGCCATTCCGACTCCTCTCACACACACACACCCCTTCAACAACGCCGCGACATCTTCATTCTACTTGCCTTTCATGGCTCCTTTAAATATTGAATAACTCGCGTCGGGTCAAGGGCCGCAACTCACATTTACGAAATGTGCGTGTGTGGTGCCTACTGTAGTGTACTTAAGTAAGTGTGCAGAATACCTATGGTGACTGACTGAGTCCACAGTTCAATCCACCGACATTAGTGTAGATAGGCTATCAAGGATGTGTACCAAGTCCTACTTAAGTGCTGAGACCCGGTCGAGTGACAGGGACCGCACGAGGCTCATGCAAAGAAGAAATAGCAGCACTCACACTACTTGAATGCTCTTGTTTCGAAGCCATGAGCTGACTCCTCCAAGGCTGCGGCGATCGTTGAGCGCTGACCTATCACTACCCCTTTCAGACTTAGTAGCTGAGTGAGCGTGCTTAATCTTTTGCCTACCAGGGGCTAGCCCTCTTTATTAATAGCGTCTTAACAGCGCCGTTATGCATTTCTCCCTGGAATTGAATTGCTGCCATGTCCGTCCGATGTCCATCGACCCAGCCTGTGATTGGGCTGCTCTTAAAGGAGGACTTCTAGATCGGGGCATCAGGTTTTGCGTGTGTTCCACTCCCTGGCATATTTGTCAACGTTCAAGGTACGGTACTGTACCTACCTTACCTCATCCAGACTCATCGTATAACGTAGTCTGAACGTAGGGTGTTGGCGCGAACCCGTGAGGAACTGCTTAGCCAAGTCAAGGTGGTGGTGTGTGATGTCCTCAGTCGCGATGATGCCAGCTCATCAATAGATGTAATAACACCCTTCAAGGCAGCATTGATGACTGCTCACAGCTTCACATCTCCAATCATAAATGCTTGATCTCCGCGACGGTTTATCCCGTGGGTAGTATTCTAGAATCTCGCCGTCGCATTGGTACGCGATGAGATTACATTAGTACCCTATCGCGCAGCTCGCCCGTTCCTTGGCAGAGCCGGCTCCCAAATAAGCTTACTGATATGTGTACACTCGGCCGGGTCATCTAAGTATCTAGGACAGGACCAGCCCCCCTGCTGTCTGTGAGCGTTCACAAGAACTGGAAGCAAGAACTCACAGCACACTGATGTACGAGATAATGTGCATAAAATCCGAGTCTTCTACAGCAGTGTCGATGACGCTGGAAAGACCGAGTCGAAGGAATCAGGATTGGGATAATTGGGTGCTCGGTGTTTGTACAGGCCGTGGGCGTGAGCGCGCCCATGTGCATAATCCTCTTGCAGTGGAGAGCTCATCCTCCACTTTATGACAGATTACGATAATGAGGATGAGCAATGCCTCTTTCGATTTGGCAACAAGACACTAACAACCCATGCCCAGAACTTTGCCCAGAACATGACCAAGAAATTGAACCACCCCACGGAGGAGTCCTCATCGTACAAAATGCCGGACCTCTTAAATACCTCGCCGCCCTGTCGGCACTTGGCTGGAAAGGTTCCCCAGTCTCTTTAGTTCCTTTCGACGTAACGGTTACTTTCTTTTTAGATTTCCGATTGCGACTCTTCGATTCCCTTATTAGCCGACCGTCTTTTATTCAGTAAGCCGATCGCAGGCGAAAGGCTCCTTGGAATTCATTCACCATGGCGGCGGCACCGATAGAAGAACCGCAGAAACAGCAGAAGCGGGTTCTGCCTAATCAGCAATTCTCGACTTCGGCCGTCACCCTCGCGGTAGAGGACGCGGGAGAGGAAGAGGTCGTCGAGCCGCCCAAGCCCAGCAACGAGGTATCATGGTGGAAGCGCCAGTTCGACCACGCCTGCATCACGCCCGCCGTTCTGGAGTGGAGGTATAAGGGCCAAGGCACGCCTGAGAGCCCCTTCGTGGTCGACTTTCTCCCCGACGACTCGCGCAATCCTTTCTTGTTCCCGGCCTGGTACAAATGGTCCATCACCGCCTTCAAGGCCACGGCCGTCTTGGCCGTCGCCTTCGTTTCAACCGCCTACTCTTCGGCCTTAGGTTCCATCGTTGACGAATTTCACATCACTTCTCCCGAGCTCGCGCTCTCCGGTATTTCGCTTTTCGTCCTTGGTTTCGCCGTCGGCCCCGTGTTCTGGGCCCCTCTGGGCGAGATGTATGGCCGACAGATTACTTTTTTCTTCTCGTATGCTGCTCTGACGGCTCTCAACGCCGGTACTACTGCGGCCACAAACATTGGCACCATAGCTGTTTTGCGATTCCTTGCAGGCGCTTTCGGTAGTTCCCCTTTGACCAACTCTGGTGGAGTTATCGCGGACATGTTCGACGCCAAGGATAGAGGTTTTGCTGGTGCGCTCTTCGCCATGGCGCCTTTCCTGGGACCGGCCATCGGACCTATCGCCGGTGGTTTCCTCGGTGATGCGGCGGGATGGCGCGCGGTCGAGGGTCTCATGGCGGCCTTCACGGGTGTGCTTTGGATTGCCGTGGCTCTATATGTCCCGGAAACGTATGCGCCGGTCCTGCTGCGCAAACGAGCCGCCGGCCTCGCCAAGATCACGGGCCATTGCTACATTTCAAAACTGGAAGTCGGCCGCCCCAAAAAGACAAAGGCCCAGACATTCACCCAGGCTTTCGTACGACCATGGGTGCTCCTCTTCCGCGAACCAATCGTCAGTCTGCTGTCTCTGTACCTGGCCGTCATCTACGGAACGCTCTATCTGATGTTCGCGGCCTTCCCCATTGTCTTCAACGAGCAACGGAACTGGTCTGAGGGTATCAGCGGGTTGGCGTTCTTGGGTATTGCCGTCGGTACGGTCTTTGCCGTGGCCGCTTTTGGTTTCGATCAAGTGCGGTACCGGAAGATCTGTGAAGCCAACGGTGGTGCCCCTGTCCCCGAGGCTCGTCTCCCGCTTGCCGTCATCGGCAGTGTGTTCCTCCCCATTGGACTTTTCATCTTTGCTTGGACCAACGGCACCAACTTCCACTGGATCGTGCCCATCGTCGCGTCTGGTATATTTGGCGCCGGCCTGGTCGCTGTCTTCCTCAGCGCACAGAACTACTTGATTGATTCTTGTAAGTGGAAACTCACCCTTCACGTGCCTGTTCTGTGGTCACTTCAGTGCTAATCATCAATAGACACAATCTTTGCGGCATCTGTGATTGCTGGTAGCTCAATCCTGCGTTCCCTATTCGGCGCAGCCTTCCCTCTCTTCACCACTCCTCTTTTCAACGCCCTAGGCATCCACTGGGGAAGTTCGGTCCCTGCCTTTCTCTCTCTTTTATTCCTTCCATGTCCCTACATCTTCCTGAAGTACGGTGCGAGAATCCGAGCTAAGTGCAAGTTCGCCGCCGAGGCCACCGCGACTATGGCCAAGCTGAGAGCTCAAATGGCTCAGGCCAAGGCTGCTGCCGCTGCGGAAGCTGCCAAGTCCGAGAAGAAAGAGACTGTTTAGATAAAAAAAGACTTTCTTCAGCATGACCGTCGAATTCTTCTCATTTATAACCGGATGGGGGGGCAGGGAACTTCATTTTTGTCTTGGCATAGCGATCTTTTGCGTCACGATATGACAAACCACAGTCAATGTTTCCTTATACTATGTCTTTATCGGTGGCGGTATGTATGTATATATATGATTATAGAGGGCCACGGGTTTATCCATAAACAAACGCGCATGTTTCCATGTCTTTTTTGGGTTATCAGCTTTTTAGAAGAAATGCTTTGGAATTCAAGTTCTCAAAACGAACATGTCAACTTGTTTTCTCCAAACTGCATTCTTCTTCACGTTCGTTTCACTGTGTTGAATACTTGCAATCGTATCAGTTTAGTTATACATTCTTTTCTTCTGCGCGGAAAAAAGCTTTGTCACGACTACAACTACTACGCCCGACCCCCGACTACTTGAGTCTTTGAAAACCCATTCTCAATGCGCTCATTGACGATTACTGTGGTATGATGATTAGGTTTAGATACAGAAATCTACTTCGTAAGGGGTATGCTAATAATTTCTTGCCTTAACCTAGATGTATGCATGAATGCGTTACTCTATATTTCCTCGTGATGGCCATTACCATACACTGTTGTTGACTTTGCCCGTATTCCACAGCGCCGAGGCTTATTCGTGGATGCCATGCGCGCCATGGACATCATACATGCCCAGACCGAGCACTCACATTGTACTCTTACATGAGCTGCTCGCCATTCTTTTCAACAGCAATTGGCCCGCCTTTGAGGCCAATACCCTTCCGTCGACCACGAATAACAGCCTGCAGGGCCTTGCCCACGGACTCGAGATCGCCGAGGATAGTAATATGCCCGCGGTCCGTACTGATCCTTCCACCCCTCACCAGCTCGTATCCATCCGGCAGCATGGCTTCCTTGGCGAGGACGACGCCATCGCCGCTTCGGAAGACGAGGTCGTCGTACGCATCATTGCATACGATGGCCTCGCGGCAGGTTACGTTAGCGGCCCACACCGTGGGTATGTCTTTCCCATAGATAACGGCTAATGGCGGGTAGGAGTTCGACTCAGTATGCTGTGGCTGATGGGCGGTTTCGGCGCGGAAGCGCTTGATCTCCGCCAGCGTGCGCGTGAGGTACGCCATGTTCTTGTCACGCTGTTCGGAGGCGTTGAACTGTTGCTGTTGCGCGTTGCTACCGCTACCGCTCTCGCTCGATAAGGTTCCCATTTGTGGCGCCAGAGTGCGATCGTGTGATACTTCTACTTTTCTGATTGCCTCGGCCACTAGGGCACGATTGGGCACGTGAGACGGGCGCATGTCCCCGGCGGCGCTGTTACCTCTGCTTCGGAGCGGTGAGGGCAGTCTCTCTGAGAGATCTCGTAGTGAGTTTCGGGCCGAGCTGCGGGAATTGTAGGCGGGTAATGCTGGCTCAACTACATTCAGGCGTCAGTATTTGCCGTCAATGATAGTAGTTTTTGTAGGGCCCTAAGTAACTTCAGGGAGTGTGGTTTCTTGTTTGCCATCTTCAGGAGAATTACGTACTACAAGGTGACCAGGCATACTTGACCCATTCCTGGGGGTCGTAGAAGTCAACAGGGTATTCCTCCCCTGTGTACTTGTTAATGAAACAGAATCCATCCTCTGGTAGGAATACGAAACTGGTCCTTAGGGAGAAGTTGACCTGTGCTGTTAGGACCTTTTCATTAAAGAGAACTGCATCACCATTCCTGAGAGGTCCCACTATGAAATAGTTAGCATTCTCGTTCTTAGACTGAGTTTTGGAGATTGCGATCAATAAAGGCATCGTTTGTGGGATAGATTTTTCATCAGCAGTCGACGAAGCGCTGTACTCGATTAAAGCACCAGCGATAAATTTAGTGAGAATAAGTATATGAGTATCGTTGTGACTTTTGAAAGCCATGCTCTCATTGGATCCATAGGATGATGATGCTTCGTCGTCGCTGAGATTTAATCAACAGAGAAATCGGTTGTGCAACTTACAAACATTGATGCACTAAAACACACAAAGTTAATGATCACCGCGTAATGAAAGATTTGAGCGACTTGAGAGCTTACCTTTTGAGGGGTACCTGCGTAGATTACACCAGCGAAAAGCTCTGGTCTTTGGTTTACAGCGTGACGTGCAATGAGACCACCGAGACTGTGAGCAATAACAGTGGCGCCTCTCTCTTGGTGGGTTTCCAAGCCGTGGTTTGAAGGCAGGTGACGCAAGAAGTCGATCAATTTACGGGAGAGCAGATGTGGGGAAAGACGCCAATCATAGCCATAATCCCAGACTCGCAGCTTTCCTGTCTTTGCATTTTCACATTCCCTTAACTTCCGGATAAGTCGTCTTGACTAGGCAAGGTTAGTCGGTCAAGCTTGCGAATAGGGGAGATGGATATATGAGGGGGGTGTCTCGTTATGGTGCGGGAATGGCAACCTTATACGCCTTTCGGAGTTGAAGGAAAGGGGGGTTACGCACAATGTCCACAGGCCCTATATTTTGAAGCATTCCAGATGAATAAACCGTCTCTTCCATCCTTTCCTCATCTTCTGGATCCAAACCAACTTCAAGGTTGACTTTTCGGATGTTGAGTCCTAATTTTACTGGAACCCAAATCTGACGCCTTGTTCTTGTTGATCTGAGTACAGAACCACGATAACCACCCATGACGACGATGTCCCCGGTGAGATTTTCAAGGGCACGATCGATTTCGGAGAGATTGCTGTCTTTGGTCTCGGTAATGGATCGCAGCTGGTCATGTTGAGATGCTTCCGATGTTTCAAGGCCAAGCAGGGAGTTTCTTTTCAATGGTGCTGGAATGATTTTAGGCAGTTGCGGTAGCTTAAACGTTGGTCTATCCCAGCTATCCGTAATTGCTTTTAGTCTACTATTCCTCTGTTCTCGAATGTGGTCCCATCGATCATCGTCGCCATAAGACGATACCCTAGATAGGGAATGGTAAAGCATGGACTCGTCAGACGTCGACCTTCGCAACACCCGAGGCCGGCTTGATCGTATTGAAGAGGGCGCTCGCGATGTAGGCAGCCTTTCCCCTGAGGGGTTAGACATATCCGCTGATGTCAAATTATCTTGGCTTGTGGTGTATTTTAAAGGTGAGTGGATTTGTTTCGATTCTGCCGCTCCATCACTCGAAGTGACTGACGCCTTGATGTCGGACTCGGTGCTCTTCGAAAGTGATGTCGTAGAAAAGAGAGAGGGAAGCGATATAGATGGCAAAGCCTCACGTAACCTCTTAAGCGTGTCTTGACCCCCTGAAGAAGATCGTTGGCTACGGTTTAAGCTGAAAACTCCAGCCATGGCAGACTTGGAACCAGATTCGTTATCTACGACTAATTCCTTGGGGCCTGAAACCCATGGTGACGGGAACTTACCCACGTAGGGCAAGCTTGAAGGTAGTTGGCTAAGAGTAAAGGTCCTCTGCGGGCGTGTTACGAGTGAGGAGCGCGGCGTAACGGCATCATATACTGGAGGCTGTGAAGAGGGAGGGGACGTCGGCTTGGCAGTTGGTGTATTTTCAACTATATCAAACAGCCCGCCTCCTGGCAACTTGTCCATCGCGGCAGCCTTTTCAGCAGCCGGGGTTCTAGACAAGGAAAGTCTAGTTGCCACAGGGCTCAATGCTGGTTGAATGAAGGATTGAACATCATCTTGATCGATGTCGAGGACCTCGTCGCTATCATCATCGTCCAGTGGCGAGACCTCATCGTCAGGTGTGACCGGGGGTTGTACGTCTTCCATGACGGCCGGCGGTGACACGACTATCGTGTCCGTGGATGTGGTTGCTACCATTGTGCCCAACTAGACAAGGCCATTGAAGGTCACCACCAATTGGGTGTCGTTGCAGCAGCACACATTCGACGATATCGCACAGCGTAGACTACCATAGCAATTTCCCGGACAAACCAGAACAAAAAACAACAACTATGTTATGTGTCAGTGTTCAATGTTGTATACACACATCATAGCTCATATGAGAAGGCGAGGCGGGACGGAGGGTGGCTCGGGCCTACCCAAAGTTAGGACCGGATCTACCGGGGTGTGCGTTATTCAGGTACCAACAGCAAAAGAGCGATTGCAGGTCGTTTCTGACAAGGAAGGCGAATGACTGAATAAGAGAATGAACTAACTACCTTGATTACTAATGCATCGGTGTCTGCCGCTTGCGATTTCATTGTTCAGAGCAGGGCAAAATGAAAATTGCCTGCTAGCTCTCCTCCACAACGACTTAAATAGAGTATCTATTGATTTTAAAGACGGGCGGGCGCGCCGGGGCTCTCGACTGGTTCCACTAGCCGCTACTTGGCAATTGCTTGATTCTTATACGATGAACAGCGTCACACCACATGCTGAACCAGCTGTCTGGTATCACAAGTCGCAGCACTGCAGTGGTAGACCGATACTCCGTGTCTGTCCGTGTCTGTCCGTGGTGGGATCTTCGTGTAATCTCCAATGCCAGCCAGGCCAATGAATAGCCAACACAGCCACGATCTGGTCTCCGCTTTGATCTAGATAGCGCTCCGATCGACTGGATAGCAGAAGATTGTAGGAATACGTCGTATTTCCGTCTTCTATGGAACAATTGAGCTACAATGTATATTTCGTCGTCAATCTACAGCTCGCATGGGTCCGTTACTGCGTGAACCGGTTCGGCCATTGCTCTCGAGACACCATCCATGAACAATAGCACTAGTCGACCAGCCGAGGATGTGCGTCATGATTCATGAACTGGCATTTGCTTCACCGCTTTAGATTCGGCAGAGCCTGGTGCTGTCCCTTGGCGAGTCATCATCGAACAGCACTAATTCGACCGCTAACCAACCCTGTGGCACCAAACGTTTTCAAGGACATGGTGGGAAATCCCTCGGCTCATCAGTTTAAATAGGACCATGTGAGATGACCACACTTATCTACATCTACGATCCATCTATCTAATAACTAGCATTGAGTGGTGACCGTCGAAAATGCGTATATTGTTATACAAGTGCTAGGTTGAACCGCGTTGTCGTATTGGGTCTATCTTCCTTCGTATTCCAGTGTCAAGAGATCGAAGAGAGGCCCATCACAACCTGCTGGTTTCATGTGGCCGTCAAAACTCAATCCCCAGGCTTGAATCAATCTCCTTGATTTTCTCAACCGACTTCTTGTATCCTGGCTGCGATTCCAGCCGAGTGCTGTAAGCAAACAGCTTAGGGTACACCCCTTGGGGTCCACCAGCGGGCCACGAACCATACTCTTCGAGCTAGAATTCAGTCTGTCAGCAATGGTTGCTCATTATCTGACCATGCTACTAATCTACTTACCCTGTCTCTGACAGATAGCAGGCCGAAGCTGAGTAAAACATCAGCCGACGTCAAGTTCTTGCCACAGAGGTAATCCCCGCTGGACGTCTCAAGCTGCTTCTCCAGGAAGCCAAGTTGCCCCTTTAGATTGGGCAAGATGAATGATGAAAGAATTTGATTTGCGACCATGGATGTGATAGGCCGAAGGAACTGTCGGCCTGGTGGTTAGTAATTGCCGTAACATATAATGACGGGGGAATTGATTACGAGACATGATTGTGATCCAAAAGAGTATCGTACTGAAGTGAAGGTCGCTGAAATCAAATCAACAGAAGAATGGATTCGGTAACTTACAAAGGGGATTTTGTTGCTCTTCAACATGCCAACCACCACCGCGATGATCAATGTCGACATAAAGGTCCCTTCAACAAAGTGCAGCAGGTACTGCCAACGCATCCACTCTTCGGTCTCGCCGCCAACCTTGCCCTCCTGACCCTCCTTCCAGCGCTTCGGCATCATAGTCGTCTCATGGCCAAAATGTTCACTGAGATATTGAGTGATGAATCCGCTCTCAGCCAGGATGATGGGTTCCGACGATGGTCCAGGCGGCGTGACGGAAACCAGGGGAGATTTGCCCAACGGGTGAATCTTCTTTAGTTCCGACGGCGCGAGCATGTCGCTACCGCGGCGGAAGGTTTCGATCTCATAGTCTATCTTGAGTTCCTCAAGCAGCCATAGGATGTTCTGAGCTCGAGATTTTTCAAGCCTGCGGCACGAATTTAGCCATCGAAACGGATGTCATAGGATTTACAACAATTATAAGCGTACCAATACAGCTTGACCTGTGCTTTATCGCTTGCCATCGTCTTTGATTTCACTTTACTGTTCCAATACTGTGACGCGCGAAGATACTAATTTGACTCGAATGATTTTACATGAAATAGTAGGTAATTATATAGGTAGGCTATCTCATCATATGATAAATCTTTCTTCTCCCCCACTGTTGTCTACTTACTAGGTAGATCGATTACGAGAGATGCCGAGGTGAACATTGTAAAGAGACCTAACCTAGGCCATACTCGTCATAGACAGGTAATAACAACAAAGGGCGAACTAACATTACTTAAATAAGATTCGAGATAGGTACATAGTCTGCAGTGGTCACATGTATACATTATGATGTAGCATACAGCGAAGAACCTTCAAGTACCTAGGTAGGTACCTAAGTACACCCGAGGTCCATAGTTCTGTGGCACAGCGCTGTTTCAGCCATATTCTTCAGCCACATTCAGCCAGCATCCAAGGTCAGCTCCCGTCTACCTGAATCATTGGCTGTGCCAGAACCGCATCACCAACATCCCTTCACCACCGACGACCGATAAAGCACAGTAGCGCGGCAGCTCGACTTGCCAATCTCTGTCAAAATGGGTGGCCTACAACACTACCGTATGTCTCCAAGCCTCTGATGCCTTGCAGCCGAGAACCGATTGGGTGCGCGGGAGGGGATAATGCTGTCTTATATGCTAACCTGATTGCCACAGGCATGGCCATGGACCCGGCCATCCAGAAGCTGGGGAGTACGTGATCCCTCATAAGCATCGACTCACTTTCCCTGACGTGTGCGAATCCGGAAACGATGCCACACCGAGAGCATCCGAAGACGAGTGATGTAATTGCTAATCAACCCCAATAGCCATGACCACAAACCGACACAAGTACTTCCGCTGGACGCCCAGAACCGCCGGTACAACCATCGGATTCCTCGTTGTTGTGCCGTTCATCGTCGGCGTCATCGGCTACCAGACGGATGTAAGAAGTCACCTCCATACACCCAATCATACAAGCAAGCAACTCTGGATCTTCAACAAACGCAATGACAGCTGGGGTTTCTTTGATATCTCGCTTCGCCTCGTCTCTTACAACGAAGTAAAATACTAACGCGTATCTTGCGCTTCTGCAGGGAAAATACAAATTCCGAGCAAAGAGGAAGGGGGACTTGATATCAGAATACTAGAAGGGGAAGAAAGGGGAAGATCACCAAACCATTATCGCGCAAGACAAGAAGATACATCGCTTCCCTTCGTATATAAGAGAGCGAAACCCGGCCAAATCATTCTCAATCAGTCTGTACAGTCTACGCAATAGTATTGAATGGAATAAAGAAAAGGGATAGTGGCAGTGTCTTATGCCGTTCTATTTTGAAATGATAATGAAAGTCAAGGAACTTCCGCCGGGAATCTCTGTTGATACATGCCATTATCGCTGTCCTTAGACGGACTCAGTCGAGTCTTACGCCTGATTCATTTGTTGAGTGAGAAACCCCAGCTTCCGGCATAACGATAAAAATCCATATGGAAAAGGACTTGTAATCTTTATCCGAACCAAATGCTGGGCCTAATGACCGTACACTCATGAGACTCTATAGCTCACGTGGCTGCCCCTATATTGGAAATTTAGGGAGAGAGCCTCTTCTATAATCATCGCAAAACAGTTGCCATATATAGCCGCCTGCTCATTAGGTATCCTATTCTTACTATGTAGGTACCTACCTACATGCGGTTTGTCCTGCGCGGGGCTAAAAATGCAGTGCACATGTCAGATAATGACCCTATTAACCTAAGAGATTGTCAAGGGATTATATTGATGTTGTTGAGTAGAAGTTCTAGTCACTAAAGGAATCCACTGTGAGGGGTAATATAGCCACGCCCACCGTACCTGCCAACAAACCCAATTAATTTATGACATGTCAACGCAGTTTTCCACACAAACTCTACTACTTCAAACAGCTGTCAAAGTACCAAATAAGATAGGGAGAGACATTAAAATTCAAATAATTGATCTAGAAATACGTCTTCTATATAATAAACAAGTTTTTATTTTTTTGGAATATCTTTCTGGTTGAGTTATATGCTTCAAATTTAGAAGATGAAATAGCACCATATTTCATCAATTAGGTAATATCAAGCGGGCTCACTTTATATTACAGCCATAGAGGCCAGCTGGAATAACTAGAGACATGTAAAATTGAAGCAATATTGCTTACTAGCGTACACTCTATCATAGATTCTCATTAACTAGTATTCCAATCTATTTAGCTCTATGGTGAGTGTTGAAAAGTTATAGAACTTTAGTGGGAAAATGGCGCCAAGTGAGCATGCGAAGAGTGTTTTTATCTAAGCAATAGCACTGACTACATACCTAGTAAGGAGACTATAAGTAGACTACTGTATGTAAAGGTATTGGTCTCATATGTCAATCTACCAGATACACTGCTTGAATCTTCTTCACTTGGTCAGGAGTAAAGGTTTGGCAGTGTATTACTCACAATGTGAGAAGAAATGATTCGAGGGAAATAAAGCTCTGGTAAAAGCGCAAGACGGGTATATAATCTAACTCGAATGTCAGGCTAAATAAATAGACTGTTTGAAGGTCGCATAAGAAAGTGCGCAAGCTGGCCTTTAGAGGCAATCGCATTTTACGCCCTTATGTCAATGTACACATGGCCTAGTTGCAGCGGTCCTTGGGCAAACAATCGTAAATGAAGCCTGTCATAGTCGAACCCTGAAGGATCTGCAAACTGGGTATTCACCTATCTCGACAGCTTCATCTTTCTTTCTGATCATTATAGGCTGCTAATTGAAGGGCCCGTTGTGGGCGCTGTATTTCATTCATGACTCTGCAATGGGCTCCCCTATTAACGATATGAGGTTTGCATTCTCACGCCCAGATGCGCATAGCTATGCGCTTATACAGTTAGGCAGTGCCGATTCTTCCTTATTAGAAATTACGATATTTTCGTTCGTCGTTTCGTTGAGTTCGCCATCTAAGATATCTTAATGGGGGGGAATTTGCGGGACACGGTGGAACGCAGATATTGAGTCCGTAAACGTCGTTTCGTAGAACTCCTTTAATACCCTAAGCATTCCCTGTCCCAGTCTCAAGATAAAAAGTCCTTGAAGATAGATTCTGGTTCTCGCACAACCTGGATTTCTCTCTTTCTTTTCGAATAGCCGAAGCTTTGTCTTTTCAGAACCTGCCTCTGTTCCTTGGCCGTCCAGCTGGTGGCATGTCGGGCAGCCTCTCACCGCGCCGCCATTCGCCAGAAGGTACACCGGCCCGAGGAGCCCTTGCGTTGCCGAAGTGCTCGTATCCGCCTTTCCCCATCCCTCCCCTCCCACGGCCGTGACGTGCGAAGGGTATATCCCTGTCCCGCGATGGTTCGCTAGGAGCGCTTCCGACGGCGAGCCTCGATTCGCCAGCACCCGTACCCCGCCCCATCCGCGCACTCGATGCCGGGGCTACGGATCCATCCGGAAGCGGCGGTAGGATAGCGCAGGAGACGTAGTCGCCGACGACGAACCGCGCGTCACTCAGCGTCTTGTGGGGATTGGTGTCGTCGAGTGTCGTTTCAGCGTCAATGTCTTCTGGGTTCAGACCGGGACCGCCGTCACCGATGACGATGCTGCCTAGCTCTTTCACCGTGTACTTGCTCGCGGAAGCGGGACCCCGCGTGTCCTGAAAGATGAGTCTGAAGGCGAGACGGGTGCCGATGGCGGGATCGGGGAGGAGATTGCCGTCAGCGGCAGCAATGTGGTGAGCTAGCTGGTCTAGCGTGCAGTCATGCCAAGTGTGAAGCGTGAGGCTTGGTGGGAGAGGATCCGTGGTGAACTCATCGGGGCTGCTGTCTTGATTAGCCATCTGTAGCTCGAGGCAGGGGTAATGTCAGGGAATTGATGGGTCGGCTGCAATCACAACGTACCGGTGAAACGCGCCAGTCCTATAAAAGAGTTGTAATGCAAAAGGCGATGTGGTATGGCGATCCATGGTAATGGATCGGAGAGTATTACACGAAACTTGAGACGAACTACCTAGGTGTCCGGGAGGGATACCTAGCGATAGCAGACAATGCGCCTACCTAGTAATTCAGGTCATGGCGCGTCTTCAGGTATTCTCATTCATTGAATTCTCGTGTACCACTCCATCAATATATTTTACGAAAGAAGAGAAGAAGCCGACGCGAGGGAGGGAATAATAAGCTTCCTTAACGGCAGGACAGCTTGCAAGAAGCAGCCGCATCCGAAGGAGAGAGCTCAGATGCAGATTGACGCTACCTTCCTACCCGGAGCCTGGAGGTGGGGACGCATGGCGTACTACCGACCTACTACCGACCCACTGAGCGCTACTGTAAGGCACGTCTAGATCCACTATCTACAGCATGTAGATCGCCCCCCGATAGCGCACCTCCTAGTTCTTAGGCCCACTATCAACTCTTGACATCTGACATTGAATCTTCCATCAAAGTACATGCATCTACCACAGACCACTCACGCCGCCCTTCTACAACCAACTTCATCATCATAACAGCCAACTAGGAACATAAAGCGAGAACTCTACCGTAAATTACGGAACCAAGTCAACCAGTGAACAAACACACTTTCCTTCACCCCAACAACGCCACCGCCCACGAAAGGGTGAAGAAAAGGAAAGAAAGATGGACTTCGCAGCGTTGATGTCCAAAGAGATCGCGAAAGCAAAGCCCACAACAGACACCACCTCAAAAGACAGCAACAACAGCAACAAGAAATACATCCGTCGCGCCGAGGCCGAAGCCCAGCGCGAAGCAGCCTACCGAGCCGAGCAAAAGGCTCTCGAAGAGAAGCGCGCCGCCAAAGCCGCCGAGAAGCGGAAGCGCGAAGAGGAGGCCGCAGAAGAGGCGCAAGAGCGCGAAGAGCGTCGGCGCAAGCTCGCCGAGGAGACGCGCAGGCGGCGCGAGGAGGCCGCGGCGGAAGAAGAACGGGCAAGGCGGAAACGGCTCGGTCTCCCCGAGCTCAAGAAGGGAGAAGAAGAAGAAGACGACGACGCCAACGCCAGCGACGCAGGTGGTAATGACGAGGATATCCCCGAGGACGCGCTCACGGAGAAGTTGCGGGAGCTAGGCGAGCCGGCGAGGTTATTCGGGGAGACGCACCGCGCGCGCCTGAAGCGGTACAGGCGTCTGACGACGGTGGTGACGGCGGGGCCGATCCCGACGACATTGCAGCTGGTCGACGAGGAGGACATGAAAGTCTCCGCGGACGCGATACCGCAGGACAAGGGCAGGCGGAAGTATCTATTCCGCCAGCTGGCGTCGTACTTCACCATGGTGCTGCGGGAGTGGGAGGCCGCGCTGGCGCGGGAGCAGCGGCGCTCCGCGGAGGAAGAAGACACGTCGTTCGCGAGCAAGAACGCCGTCAACGCCATGGTGTCTAGCCGCGCCAACATGGTGCCGCTGTTCCGCAAGTTCGAGAGCGGCGACCTCGACGACGCCATCTTGAAGCCCGTCGTCGAGATCGTCCAGGCCGCGCAGGAGCGGCGTTACGTCGATGCCAACGACGGCTACCTCCGCCTGAGTATCGGCAAGGCCGCCTGGCCCATCGGTGTCACCATGGTGGGTATCCACGAGCGGAGCGCGCGCGAGAAGCTTCACGATGGCGAGCGGGGTCATGTCATGGGCGACGAAGTCACAAGGAAGTACTTACAAAGCATCAAAAGATGCCTGACTTTTGCTCAAGTACGCTGGCCTCCAGAAGATATTAGACAACTGATGGGATAGACAGATGATGTGTTATAGACGGTTTATAATCAGTCCTCTACCTCTATGCTAGCCACACGTAACTGATTTTCTTCTTCTCTTCCCAAACGCCGAGCTATGGATGCCTTAATCCCCTCGTCATACCTATCTCGATGGGTGTTACATCTGGCGCCACTAGTACGCCGTGCCAACTTCTGTAATAAGCATTCAATCGCATGGCTTAGCGATTATTGCCTAACCTCTACTTATAGCCCATCTTCGGAGAGTCAATCCTTGACTCTAGCCATAGGAAGATATGCGTCACCGTTCATACTCTTCGTAACGCTGCGTGGTTCAGTGGCTTTTCCGTTTAAATCAATATGTCTCACATCGGGTGCTTCACCCTAAGCCACACCCTCTATTACCTGAGTCGATTCACTCATAATGTCATCACTTAACATGTCGCTGATGCCAGGTAAGCTGCCAGAACCGGCGGAGCCACTGACGCCCTTACGAACCGGTCCCTTCACCTCAAGTTCAGCCTGGGCGATATTCATACGGCGTATTTGTTCCAAAGCCTCTTTATGATAGTCTCTCACCGTTTGTAGTGCATTCATCTGCATTGCTACACGGGGCTCGCTCGATACCGTAACAAGAACCTACCGAGTAACGTTAGAAGCATGTTGCTATCACCATTTTGCGCATCAAGCTTACCTTGTCAATTGTGTTGATTCGTGCTGACAACGCGCCGCTCTTGATCATTGATATCAGCTCCGCCTCGAGACTCTCGCCCGGCTTGGCAAATACCGCATTCAAATTGGCGAGGGTTACACAGGAAAATGGTACCAGGTATTGGACGATGCATTTCTTTCGAATCATCGAGAAGATCTTGGGCACGTGACTCTGTAAATATATGTCAAGGAGGTAGTCGGCGCGATACCGTTCGAGAATCTGCAGGCACGCCGAGTAACGGCAATTCACGAACATGGAGATGGCTTTGCGAAGTTGAGGCTCCAACTCGAGGTAATTTCTAAATGAAGAGTTATCGAGCACTTTTTCCTGTAACTCGTCTCGGCCCATCGAGGCAAGTGCAAGCAATCCGCCGTAGGTTGCGATGTCATTAGAACTAGCCACATCGTTGGATCGCTGGCAGATGATGGGATCCCCGGCATCAAGGAAGCACTTAGCTGCCTCATCATACTTTTCGGAACCGAGATATGCGAGACCGGCGACCATTTTCTGATAAGGCTGGTGGGCAGTTATTTCCTCAGTCAACGAACCAGGATTGACAAGCTTATTAGCATATCCTAGGATCCCGGACCAGTCACGCTTCTGTAGTAAAACACTTATGATATGTTTATTGGTATCAATGACGTGGGCTGTGGCACTGGCTTCGGACCGCATCTTAAGGTAAGCATCAATAGCCCCGTTAAGGTTGCCCATGTCTTCCAGATGCTCGCCAAGATCTCGATGACCAATCTAGAGCACATAGTTAGCCGACGCGTCTAATGTCTTTGTAGCTGGGTGATGGGCCCCTACCCTGATACTCTCTTTGATAAGGTTGTTCTTGTAGCCTTTTAGCTCGGCTTCCAGCTGGTGGGTAAGATTTCTGTTTAGTTTGCCAGTATTGTTGACCCAAGCTTCATCTAGCTGGGCTTCTGGCTCGTCTGGGGCGGCCATACGGATGCATTCCCAGGCATCACGATACCGTTGCACATCTTTCCCTTTCTTGGCCTCGGCGACGGCGGCCTTTAGAGCGTCCAGGCCCAGCGGTACGGAGCACTGTCCGATCAGTAGGAGTCGGTCAAAGCGAGTGCGGCCTAGAGGAGAAGGCGGTCACAGTGAGTCTCGGAGTGCAGGGACGGACGGGCGGGACGACTACGAACCTCTGTAGTTGGAGATGTAGAGCTCAAGGTCGAATTTGGGTACATCTGGCAGTGAACAGACAGTCAGCGATGGTAGAAACAGTGGGCAAAGGGGTGGTTACCGTTGACAATGATGCGACCTTGCTCCTCCATGGCGGTGAAGAAGGCGAGAGTACCGGAAGCCATTGTTGGGATCAGTGGTAAGGTGTATGTGTATATGTGTGTGGTACGTATGGTATGTTGTGATGCAAGAGAAGAGAGGTCGGTGGGATGATATCAGGCAGTCGATGCAGCTACCGATCGCCCTCTCCGGGCCTTTTAAACTGGAGTCTCAGACTGGAGAGGATGCTGCCGTCCAGATACGTAGGGGGTGGTACTTTCGCAGCCGTATTTTAGGTTGGCAGGCAAGGCCACGACAAGCTGAGCTGAAGCTATTGAGCGAAGTATGTTTGTCGAGAAGATGCAGTCCAAGAGGCTCCCATGCATAAGCTACCTCTAAGTACCTACACTTAGGTACAGTAGGGCCGGCGGCGGCGGGCACGAGACCGCGGGGTAGCTACCCGCCTACACAGGTACCTACAGTACCTACGTAGGTACTTAGTAGGTACCTATGCATGTGGCAATTCCCACACCCCGTGGTCAAGTTAAGTATTATACCCATATCTATTATATCACTTATATCAGAGTATCAATATAGCACTCAAGGTCAGTCCGAAGCCGATGCTAGGCATTTGCCGTTAAATAACAACTTTGGTCCTGTTTGGTATGTAGTATGTATGGCCCCTCAAATAGGGGTTGTTGGCTCACCACTACTATTCATACTTTCGTATAATGTTTTCCCATTCCTTGTTATAAGAAAGGTTTATACAGGGCTTTGAAAACTTGAAGCTATTTACAATATAATAATCTATAAGGTCTGCTAAAGTCCTTTTCCACTAGCTCCCTTCTCGGCCTTGCGGGCCGACTTTGACTCTATAAGCTCTTTCTCTGCCAAGGTTGTTAGCATCCTGATTTTCCAGTAAACGGCAAAGCGCGAGCAAGCAATAAAAATAGGAGAGGGTAACCGATGAGACCAGTACTATGCTTTGCTTATGCGTATAGAAACCCTGCTATGCACTAGCACTTTCCCTACTAGTCTCGAGATTCGCTAAGTTTTGACTTTTCGTCTTCGTCTTCGTCTTCGTCTTCGTCTTCGTCTTCGTCTTCGTCTTCGTCTTCTCCGAGCTAATGTGGCTTCAGGATGCTTGTGATCTGGGGTGTCACTGGTTGCAATTTTCATAAGATAGCCAGCTAATGATGTGGTGTCTTCGGTGTCATGGTTCTCGAGGAGGGCTAAAAGCAAGCATGCCTTTAATGTGAAGTGGGCATCGTTTCCGCCGATATGTAAGCTGCGATATGGGCATCTAACCCAGCGAAGAAGCATCTTAAGGGCACATTGAAAACCGAATGTTTCATTTGCAAGACGCTGACTACAAACGGCATACATGTTTGCCGAGAACCTGTAGCCGAGGGCTTGTAGAGTCTTTAGTTCACTTTGTACACCATGGCTAATAATGATGATGCGACGGTGCTGGTGTTGCAGTATGAGTGATTGAATTTTCTCGAGAATGCTAGTCGAATTAACCACTAAGGATTTTCCAAACATGAACTTCGGTATGACCTTTTTTATATATCGGTAAGATCCAGACACGTAGTGATAGGTTTCAATAAGATCGTTTGGTGGCGGTAGCGAGTCTTTTTGTAGATCGTTCGTGTCTAGTGTTGCAATGCCGATTTGACAATCGTTGCCCTTTGTAAACCCACTCCTAATGTTATCTAAATGTTCGAAATCAATTGATAGAAGTAAGGATCCAGACCAATGAGAAGGATATATTGCGTCGGATATTAAACCAAGAGCCTCGCGAATAATTTGTAGACCATCTTTCGATATAGTCGGCGGACGATCACTGAACTGAGCGTTGGTAATCGCAGGTGCTATCGCATCAGCGGCACTCTGTCCCCTAGCCACTGTCGTGCAACGATTTTGATGGTGCCTAGAACGGAACGCTTCGACGGAAAATAGCCTCGTATTTTTGACTACGGGATCTTGCAGGATAGGCCCTCCCGACGATTTGTATAGCTTGGGAAAACTACTCCAATTAAGAAATGAATTTCTCCAAAACCTGGACATGACCAAAGAAAAACAAGACATTTTGAATCATTCTTTTGTCGTGTGATCGAAGTGGTTTTAGAACCCCTGCTTTCGGGTCAGGGGATGATGTTATGATAGTAGCAGCCAGACAGGAGAATTGCGTTCAATTTGGAGATAGGTCAGATATTGAAGAGTTTGAATTATCGCGTAACAGCAGAGGCGGATTAAATATCTAATGAGAGCGTGAATAAGCTTTGATTTCTTTCATAATCTAGTTCTCATTGGAAATACCCATTACTGCTCTATAATGAACATGGAGAGTTTTCCTTCCCTGTTATGTATAGAATTAACCTTCACATAAGGTGCATACAAATTACTACTATATTAAGATCATAGAAATGAACCTAAAATGGTATCCGAAGAGCAATGTTCCTTGTTTAACACATTGTATTAGTAAGGGAGAATGATGATGGGAAAGAATGTATGAGCGAGTATCACAACATAGCGTAATAATGAAGCGTAGTACAGTATAATATAGGCGGTTAGGTTCCTGATTTGGTGCTGCTCTACCTTCTGGCAGTCCTATGGCAGAACACCCGAACCCTCAAAGGCGCCCCAATACACCAAGGATATTACATACTATGTATTGTCTACAGTTCCAAGACTTGGATGCGCCTTTACCACACAAAAGAGAATTATGTGGTGGAAGGGGGCTCTCTACGTGTAATAGATAGTTCTCGATCTTTAAGGATGCCTACAGAGGTAGGTGCCTCATCACATGGCAAGTAAATAGTTATTGTCAGGCAGTGAGTGTGGATTGTTGGAACAAACTATTCACATATGCCACACGCGAATCGACCACGCGATTCTTCAGGTAAAAACAACTTGGTTCCTGCAAGTCTTAAAGGAGGAACATCACCATACCCCTTTTACCAAAAATCTCTCCTTCATTCTATTGTGTCCCTCCAAGCATCAAGAACAACGACAACAACGACCGTGATCGCGCCAGGTGTTTCGAAGAAGTCGCCGCCCTAGGGGCTCAATATCTAGCCTCACACGCCATTTGTGGCTGGAACAGCTGCTTCTGGGGGGTTGATCATGCTGAGTTCCTATAAAGTCGCTTCAACGATCTGTTGTCAAATTAGTATAGGATGCTTTTTTCTGTTTCAACACCTCGACAACATATTGGAATATGGGAAGTGTTGCAGTGTGATATAATCACAAATTGGATGGATTGGAAATAGAGGGCATCGGCAGACTCATACTTACGTGGTGTTCCCCGGAAATGGGCCCGGATGACTGCATATATCTTATACAGTTTGAGGATGACACTCGCTATGAGATTGACATATCCCACTATCTCAAAAAAGATAGTGGCAACTGTCGGCTCCGGAGACGCCATGTTGTGCTTCAGGGGCGTTAGTAACACAACGCCTGATACTACCATGGCAAAGATGGATCATTTCTGCAGATGGGGGATTACCTACATAGGTATTGGATCTGAAAAAGGAACCGCTAATTTTACGTTATAACGGTATTGATGTTTGTGATGTTTAGAAGTCGTTCTGCTTTCTCTTTTTTCTTTCTGTCTTCTTCCTCTCCTACTACTTCCATCTCCCGCCTTTTATAGAGTGCCTAGTTCTATGAGCCAGCAGTCCCTCATGTTACTTAACCCTTACATACCAGGCGCAGCATGAATTAAACTCGTAACTGACTATCATGGCAAACACCGATACCAATGACTTCGAGCGGTCAAGACTTGAGCTATGATCCCGAGAGGAATGCTGTTTGCTTTCTAGAGAGAGGAAATTCAAGGCGTATCATGACGAAGGGGGAGACGACCAAAGCTCTCCCTGCATTTCACGCGGTGAGAGTAGATGGTACTTAATTCACAGTCTTATGACCAAGTAAAGCAAGTGTCAACTTGCCTCAGGGCAAGGTACTATATTCCTCCATTGGATGCTGCAGTGGTAATGTATCCTCGGGGAGTCATCGCCCCCTGACTCTCCCGAGCCACTTGCCATGCATCAAGGCCATCCACGGAGAGTATACGAGCAGCTCATAGGCTTGAGGACTCGAACCTTCCACCAATGTCCTTGAACATCCCCCCTGCCGTGCCCACACCACCAAGAGCATTCGTACGACAACTCCTCACAAACGGCCATGAGGCGTCACTTGACACGCAGCGTGTAGTTTGCTTGTTCTCTGCACGCCGAGAATCACCGAGCCTGGTTTCAAAGAGGTGAGTCTGTTCAGGAACTAGGTGTGAGATGAATGGCCAGCTCCTGACATGAGCACTCCTGGTATGCAAACATTCGGCCAGTCTCGCCGCCTTCGGTCTTGCCGCAGTATCCATAGAGAACTCGTAATCTAACGTGCCTTGCTTTCTGCTTCTATTTATTCGCTTCATGATAATTTTAGACCACGACTACGTGGCTACGAACTGACAGGTCATCCCCATGCCTACACAATCATTCCTATCAGCAATCAAGATATGCTCCCCGGGGGGTTTTCATAGACACAGGAGCCATTAGGCATACTAGGGGCTCGAGTATGGGGCATCGAAAATGGCCAAGGTGATACCTATGCAGGAAGCCTTGGGCTCAGCCTACCCCCGGTATCTGTCACTGAAGGTGCCCCCTGAAAATTTTTACAAGTCTCGTCTACCTCTGTAATAATAACGCCCAGGCAGAAACTCCAGCCAATAGATATGCTACTTCGGATGTTCATGTGCCTTATCTTTCAATTTGGCTTGCCATGATCCAGGCAACTGATTGCCGGGATCCGGTATACGAAGTTGTTGGGGTTTATACACTTGTTCTGTTTATGCCTGCTGCTCTAGGGGATACTTCTCACCATTCTGCGAATGTTCTAGCAACTTTCTCTCCCTTCATCCACGTCATTCCGCCGTGATTACCGCCAGGAATCAATACCTGCATTTATTTCTCTATCTTTGTTTCAGCCAGAAGAAAGTTTGCAAAGAGCCTTTGCATATTGACCAGTTGTTTGCTTTGGAGCGAATCTAAGACACAGACGGAGAGTGGTCAGATGATAGGTAAAAAGAGTAAAAAGCTTAGGACTCGATATATGCGTCTCCGAGTCTCCCTTGAATGCTCAGGTGATAGTACAGTTCTCTACACATGTCGAGATTGGCACCTCGGCGTAACTTCTGCCTCGCTGGAACCTTATACCGTAATACGTATTGAGGGCTTCTGTGAAGTTGTATGCAATATCATGTTCTACCCCACCTCTAATGGAAGATTGACTATCAGTTCTTCAGACTGTGTTGAAAACAACACACTGGTCTCGCAAGATACTGTGCTTGACCCCTGGTTCGGGGCGGTCACAAAGTCGGTCGTCGGTGAGACGTAATGACGTAGCTCATATTTCAAATATATAGAAGACTGCATAGTTAGTTCAGATGAGCTAATCGAAGACACAAACTCAATATCTATGGCGAGGGCTGAGAAGTTGAGGTCTCCATATTACAAAAAGGAAACTAAAGAACATTCCTGTATATAATCACAGCTTTGTCAGCAACGCGTTTTGCTACGGGAAAACTTCGCTGCACGAAGATCTGAGAGACCTTGGCTGTGATGATCGGCTCAAGAGCAATATGGTGTAAGGAATTATTTTCACTATATTCTTTGGAAATGATAATACTTCAAGAAAAGAAGGAAAGGAGACTACTACATAGTTGTAACTGTGGGTAATATGGTAAACTGGTAGGCAGTTGTCAGTGTCACGGAGAAGATTAGGAGTGTGGCACCAAACTGGCACACTATCCAAAAGATAGAACGACGTTATCAAGTCGAGACCCTGCGCACCTACACTCACTATATGGTATTATGACAGTTAGCGCCTTACGGTAACCATTCTGTCCAAGCGTCGGCGGGTTTCCAGTGATGTCCGCGTAGTAGCGTTCGTACACCATTGGCAGCGGGAAATGTGCGTAGTCTTCACAAGATGAACAAGTGAGATAAAATTCAACTAGCCGGCGCCTCTATTTTGTTTGTCATGATGTACTTAGTCTAAATTCAGTCCATGCCACCCTCACCCCTTTTTATCTAGTCAACGCAAGCCAAAGCAGAGATCCAACCAGTATGCACCGTAATTTTCCATTTCCGCCACAACATGATTTCAACCGCTCAGATAAGTGTTAGGACATCATTCAGCTAGTTGATGATGTGGAATTCCAAGGGGTCATCCTTCATTATCTTCAGAGGTGCAGTCTCCCATTCTCATGGATACTGCTACTATTCGAAGGAGGAGATGTGAGGTCTATGTCTTCATCACCGTCAAGCCATTGACTCATCTTCTCGTACATGGCTAGCCAGGAGCGATGAGCGGCTCCTTTCTCCGCCCCCTGGATGGTTGGTAAGAACTCGTCTACATCGTGCCCCAGCATGCGTTGCGCGGCGCCCAGGTAGCGGTAGCCCTCCGGACATCGCCGCAGCATGTCCTTGGAGAATGTCGGCGCGGTCTTGCCGTCCACAGGAACAAGCTTGTCCTTGTCGTAGATGAGCTTGACGTAGCGGACCTTCCACTCTGGAGTGCCGCCCGGATACGGGGACGGCTGTTCGAGGCAGAAGAAGTGGAAGCGGCAGTCGCAGTCAACATCGAAGACGACAGGCTCAATGCCGCGCTTCAGGTCTCCTGGGATGGCAAACCGTTGTGTGATTGTAGCCTTCATCTTACCAACGGCGCGGCGGGTCTGCGGGTTGAGGTCCACGCATGTGCCACACTCGCGGTGCATGATGAAGTCACCGCGGGACTTGCCCTCCTTCGATACTTGGATGAAATTGTCGATGGATTGGCGTTTGCTCCAAGCTACATAGATAGTTGAATGTTAGAACTGCATGGAATTTGGGTTGAAGGCCGAATACTCTGGTGTTCAGGAATGAAAACTATACTTACTCGTCCAAACGAATGCCTCTCCGCAGAACAGCGAGCGGAAGTTTTTCCACTCAGATGCATCGCGGTAAACTGGCCAGCCTTTGCACAGCTCTGACACGGCAAGGCGGTCAAGTATATCGGCGGGATGGCCGTTGACATGGGAATATGTCCCTAGCTGGGGATCAAAGGGAGAAGTCATGTGCGAGAACAAAGCCCTGTCAATGGTCCGGGCAACGTAGTTGGTTTAACAGAGAAACTGAAGGGTGGTAGGGGTCTGTTACTTCCTACAGATTTGTTAGAAGTAGTGAGGAATCCTAGGTTATATATACACCATAGCACCTAACCCAGCTGGAGCCGAGGCCGGCTAATCCTTCTCTGTTTGTGCAACTTTCACTTAAATGAAGGCCAACTTGTAAGGTCATGACATGGCCTGATTTTTTTTTTTTTTTTTACCTTGTCAGATTCTTGATAATATCACTTCGCCTGGGTGTGAGAACCAAACGAAGACCTACTCAGGAGCGAATAGGCATCGTATAGTAAGAGTCTCGAGTGAAGGATTCTGGTTTCTGCGGAGTAGTCTGATGTTGGTGTCTCTTCTCGCATCTTACCTTGCAGGATTCACTACAATGTTGTTAAGGATGATCAGAGAGAATTCCACTCGGGTGCTGCGGGTTCATCACCTTCCCTTTGACAATGGATTGGTTGTCACATCTGCGTTTGGCGTAGACATCTGGCTCCCAAGGTACCGTCGTAAGTGTTATATGTACGTACGATATGTACTCTATCATTTTCATGCCTAAGTATCTTTGACACAAGCATTAGTGCAAAATTATTCTGCACGACCGTTGTCGAGTGCAATTTTAGTTGTGTCACCGAAGCCGCTGTTCGTTGCGCCTGTACAGCGAGTTCATTATCCAGACCTGCAAGGCGAGTGGCTCTCAAGAACCACACGACCGTTAGCATGCGACAGCGGGGTCCTGAAACTACCTCGACCTGGTTTTAATCTAATGCAAATGACGGTTGTGTGATGATATGTCACCTTGCCACGGTGCGGTTGCGGCGGGGTCCCATGCAGCTTGATCAGTAATATGATACAAGTAGGTATAGAGTAGATGGAGAGAAAAGGCAGCAACCAACGAAAAATGATCACCACGTCCCACAGCGCCATCTCGCAGGCGGGAACGCAGATTGTATCGCCACGAGTTCTACATGCGTAGAGAATCAACAGGCGTTATGAGACCAGGAACCCGGTATCTGTGTTTGGCTAGACGCAGAGCAGAGGTGCCGGCACCGCGGGGGGCGCAGAGGGGAAAAGGCCCGATCGCGGGCCTCTTATGCTGGCTGCGAGGCAAGTTCCACGGATAGGCCAACCGATCTCGATATCAACGCAATGCAGAGACCTGCGGCCTACCGGCAGGCTCTCGAATCTCCAAACAGCGAGCAAGCCCATCTCTAAACACGTGGCGCCGTTATGGGTCAAGCCATGAATCAGTGGAAGAGCCCGCTTTTCCCCGGGCTCCCTTTCGCCTTCGCTTCTGCTTGCTGTACCTGGTGAACCTGGTGGATGATGTGAAGATCCATTGCTGTCGACTGATAGACGGCATATCGCGCGTGCCTGCTTCCCCTTTATGTGGGGTTATCGTATGTTTGCGCGGAATGAAAAATCTAGAAACCCCTCCCGCCACTGCTTGATTAAGAGCGGTGAGCAGAGCGAAGAGGGGAGAGGACGGCCATGCGGACGGGCAGATTCAGCAAACGGGTAGATTGTGCCAAGGGAGACCAAGCTCTGCAGATGAATAATTAGACGACAGTGCAAGCAAACGGCACTTCTGGGATGTAAGCGAACGTTTTTGGGCGGTATGAAGAGCTGGAACATGGAAACGAAAGCCGTCAGAGGCGCATGGCAGACAGGAAGAGCTTGTCCTGCACTACTACTACCCAGTGGCTTTGATATCTGCAGGCAGTGCTAGGCATTTGCCTAGGTAGTATCCAAGTATCGCACGTGTTGGCTGCTTTTATATGTACGTATGTAAGTCTCTACGTAGTACAACATGCATCTTCGTCGTCGTTTCGTGTATGCCATCTGCCTCATCCATCCCATCCTAGTAGGCACATGCCTCCTGGGCCAACAACTCGGTGCTGTTGCTCTCACGCTGCAAGCCACTCTGTCCTATAATATCCAGGCAGGTACCTGAGTCAATATGCAAGTACTTGACTCGAATCTGAAGTTGCCGTCTATCTGGATTATTACCTAAGGAAGCAAAGGTCTGTGGTTATTTGCCAATAGATAGATTCATACCATGTTCGGATGACAACACCATTCAGATTTAAGTTCAACTTGGAATAAGAGCAAGCTCTCATTTGCTGATAGTATTCATTATAGTAGCAATCAATTGTGTTGCTATAGAACAATAGCATTATCTTCTCACTACCTGTTTCACCTTTTATACATCCCACCTGCCCTTAACCTTAATCCTCACCCCCTTGGATTCTAGCTTTAGACACTTATACTAAGGTCCTCGATGACGATCTAGAAAATAACTGAGCACTGCACATTTTAGTTATGAGAGTCTCTCTAGGTCTGGAGGGTAGATTTGTCTAGGGCTAAACGATTCGCTACATCTGGGGTGTTTCTTCTTGGGGAATTGTGAGTCTCCTCCTGAATGACAGTTTCCAATTGTTTCGGCCTTTAGCTAGTTAACATGTAGAGAAATATTCACAGGTATCGTTCGGCTTGTCGTCTATATCAATCAGTCACAAGGTATAGTTGAAATGAGCATTGCTGTTATCACTGGCTGCCTTCCCATGACCTGGCCACTTATCCACAAGACATCGCTTGAGAACATGATGTACTCACTGCATAGCGCCGTGTTGCTTGAAAGTCTCCAAAGGTCGACGAGATTGAAGAGCGATGAAAGTTTGCACCCCCATCATGAGCAGAAAGACAGCCTATCGGAATCGCACAACCAGGTGGACTGATGGTTGCGGTATACGCCTCAAAGAGGTATTCATGCCATGGTAGTATTGGCCAATAAAGTCAAGGGTCAGTTGAAGAAGTTGAACCCGAGGTCGAATACTAGTCGGGAGGTATACGATAGGAATGCTTACAGTCCACTGGGATACTCAAGAGGGGAAGCGGAACGAAGACGACTAACAATTTACCATAATTACTGCGCACCTTCAGTTACCAGCGCCAATGGCCTTTTCCCAAAACAATTAAAAACAAGCTATCTTGTACCACACCCCTGCTACTATGCTTGTAACTAGAGTGTTTGTAATGATTGATGGCATAAAAAATCCTGAGGACCAAAGGCTTACGATCCAGTCATTGCACCCCCTCAACCACACACTCTTCTTTCAAATGCCATATACTTATGTACAATTTGCAACTCGAGCTGGTACATACGACCATAAGATCTGGAGAACGCGGGGTCCCGTCCGCTCCCCCTTAGCTAAGCCAGATACTGCCAGATTAGTAGTTGGGTCGGTGACGACCAGCGAATCCCTGGTGTTGTATGTTTTTGAACTTTATTTTATTTTATTTTATTTCATTTTCTTTTCTTTTTTTTCTTTCCTTTCTCAGCAACTTTCTCAAGCAATTGAACTCGCCGGAAGGATTTATGCTGTATCATGACCTAAGTAAACCGGGGTCTATGGTGATCTACCAATCAAGTGGCAACAAAATGGAATGACTAAGAAGCGCGCGCTTTTGCGCTTGGCTGACTTATCTTGCCCGCGCGCCATCTGATTTGCAATAGCTGACATAATTCAGAAATTTTCATGTGAAAAACTTCTGCTACCTAGTTCATGTACCTATCTACCTACCTAATTGACTGAGGGGCGCATAATGGAGAGATGTAGGCCACTACTTATATAGTATGTGTGTGTAACCTCCAACTCCCATTCATCAAATGTCTGTGATGTTGTAGGAGACTACCTAGGTGTCTGTTCATATCTTATGTGTACTTATGTGTCTGTATAAGAGCAACCCACCACCACCAATCGAGGGCACCACCACTACCGCATTAGGCATCTGATGAGCATGCGCCATAGCGTCGCAACTCTACTCACCAGAGCCCTCATTCAACACAAGAGACCTATTACCCCTGTATTAACCCGTCTACCCTTCTCACTCTCCCCTCTCCGTCCTCTAAGCACCTCGGCGGCAGTCAATATGTCCTCCCCTCCCACCTCTAGTTCCAGCAGCGCCGCTGCAGAGCCGCAGAGCGCGATCCCCTCCCCTCACATAAAAGGAGAAACAGAAGAACCCAAACTCCCACCCCTAAGCGCCCACGAGTTCAGGGAATACAACCGCATGGCAGAACACATGGACATATTCCACAACCACTTCCGGTCGACCTGGAACATGCTCTACACCTCGGCGTCGAGCGGCCGTCGGGCGCAGGGCATGTCCATGCGGTCCTTCATCCACGCGGGTCTAGAGTTCACCCAGCATCTCGAGATGCACCACTCCATCGAGGAGCGGTACGTCTTCCCGGAGCTCGCGAGGCGGATGCCCGAGTTCCGGACCGGCAAGGAGCGGAATCTGGATCATCAAGGAGGGGGAGAAGAAGACGAAGGCAAGAGGAAGAAGGCTGCGGAGCTACTCCAGCAGCACGTGGATATCCACAAGGGCATGGATGGTCTGGCTGATTATCTGCGCCGTTGCCTCTCCGGCGAGACCGAGTTGCAGATGAGCGTTCTCAAAACCCAGCTAGAGTGAGTTTTCTGATTCTCCTCACACCTTACTTTTTTATTATTTTTTATTATTATTTTTTTTAAAAAAATACCTTATTCCTCACAACAACTCTGGCATCTCTTGGGGGAGAAAAATAACACTTATCAATGCGGATGTACTAACGTCGGTTCCCAAGTTCTTGGGGGACTGTACTGTTTACCCACCTCGATCAAGAAGTCCGTACCCTTGGCGCTGAAAACATGCGTAAGTATTGGACCCTTGATGAAATTCGGAAGATGCGAATGTAAACCCTTGGACTTTGCATCCTATGAAAGGGAATGCGGCATCACGAGGCTCAAGTACCCTCGCTTTGAGACAAAATTTATCTAGCTCGGTATCAGCTTGGGAAGGGATAGATTTCTGACGTATATACGTAGTAGACGGAATACAGCGGAAAGAAACGGATAGATATACTATCATAGATACCCCTGAAATACACAATATTCATAACACACTATCAATGTTCATTCAACATGTGAACTTAAAAATGTTATGATCAAATCATTTTCATTCCCTTGGTAGTTATGCTACTCATACCGTCCGATTAGCCCCAGACCGGCCCATTGCCGACGAGACTTTTTCACCGAAAGGCAACCTGGGCCATATGCACACGAGATACAAAAGAGACGGAAAAGCACAGAAAGTACGCCCATGATTCGTTTAACCTCGAACAGCGCCACCGAGCACACCTCCCGTAAATTGCGTTCCGCCAGCTTGTCTCTGTCCCGTCCCACCTGTCCTGGCGCCGCCACGGCCTGTCTTTTGGCCCCCCCCACGACCACCCCGCTGGTTTTGTCCACCTCTCCTGTCGAAGGCATTAGCTGTGCCTTGTGTCCGTTGCTCGAGCGTTCGCTCATTGGTCTCGATAAGGGCCGCAGCCTTGTCTGACAATGTGAGGGCCAGACTTTGAAGGCGCGAGAGCTCAACTCCCTTCCGGAAGATGACCGTCGAGGTGACCTGGTCGAGAGCAGCAGCCAATTCTTCGTGGCTGATCATCTTGCTGACGATGGAGGCAACCTTGCGGTCATCTAGCTCAAACATCGACGACAAGGTAGAAACGGCAAGGGTGTCGTAGAAGGGCGCGTATGTGAATAGGTATGTTCGCAGGCCTTCCTCCTGGATCTGTTTAGAAAGCATGACTTTGATCTCATCCGTGTTTGGCATTAAATCCCAGATCTTGATGCTGTGAATAAAATCAATAGCCTTCTTCCACTCTCCGGCGGCTAGCGCCCTGGATGCTTGCATGACGTGGTCGCGCGTGTTTTCAGGTGGGCCAGTGAATATTTGCCGTTCGTGGTATTCGAGCATACGTCGATATGTCTTACTGATGACACGCTTCTTGATATCTGGGGAGGAGCCCGTCTGAGCTAGGAGAGGAATCTCAAGCAGCATGCTGCATGTTAAATAGACACACTCTAGAAGCTCGAGGTTGATGTGCATGTGGAAGGGGAGTTGCCTTTGCTTCTCAAGGCGTTCTTGTTCTGGTGAAACTTGAGCAAACCGCTGAATCATGACACCCTGGGCCAGAAGCTCCTTTTGTCGGCCACTACCACAAATTTCTTGAAGTGTATTCTGTGCGTCGTACACGAGACCCTTGCGGAATGCACATAGACCAACCTGTACGAGAGTGCGGTTGTAGAGGATTTGAGTTTGCACATCGAAGCTGTTGATTGTCTCTTGCAAATGTGACATCAGCATCATGTCGCGAGCCTTGTAATATTCATCATGTAAGGCAAGGAAGTAGATCTGGCAAAGCATGGCACGAGCACGGATAATGCCCTCGCTGTTAATGAAAAGGTAGTTGCAGAGCACGTTAAGCAGCTGCGTGGCATCCGTGATGCTACCTCTTGGGGTGATGACGGACTCGACGTCAGCGGGCACGGGTTTCCAGGCATTCTCTTCGAGAATCTTGACTACTTGGGCAGGTTTGAAGTAGACGTGCTCTAACCTTCGCATGAGGACCCGGTTCAGGCTGTCCTGAGAAATTTGCAGAGAGGAATCTTTGCGAAGGGTCTCGTAATAGAGTAGACCGCGGAAGATGACATTGTACAAAGCACCCTCGTCCGTCAGGCGCTCAATGTATTCCGAGGTGTGGGGATCAATGTTTTGCAACGAGCGGGTAAGCTCATCGTCTAGGCGCTCGACATACGATACCACGCTTCCTGGAATCTTGATATATTTCTCTCCTGGCTGTATTGTGGGTGGCTTCTCGTCATCTTCCCACTCCTCGGCATTCTCAAGAACAATGTGGTCTCGGTTCTTCTCAAGCACTTCGAACAAGGTTGAGAGCTCCTTCTCAGCAGATTTCCATTGCTCTAAAGGCATAGCATTAGATGTGCCTGTTCCGAGATCGAACCTGGCAGATACAAGGGTCAAAAGAACACGGATAGTCTGGTAGGGTGTGTTGGCTACAGCATGCAACTTCTCCATGATGCGTATCTGCTCGAGCCTGTCGGTGTTCTTCTTTCCACGAGACTCCAAGATAGTCCGTAAATGTTTGAAGATGCTTTCGGGCGTGAACTGCAAGGTGCGACCACCCTTGGTGACGGTCTCGAAGCCATCGTCGTCTTGTTGTTGTTCAACCTGTTCTGTGTAGGCCTCGGCTTTTGTTTTCTTGGGCTTCGGGGCGACGACTTCCTCTTCTTCCTCGTCGGAAGCGAGGAAATCGAGTGGGTCATCCCGATATCGATCAACTTCAGTTTGGTGGTCTTGCTTGAGTTTCTTGATCTTTTGTTTGACGGCGTTGAGACCACGGGCACTGATGGCATTCATCTTCTTTGGAGTGACCTTCTGTTTCGAGATGGTTTCATTCATTGCATCTTCGAGTTCGACAATGGCCTTGATGTAGAGCTTGGGAACCTGGCCGCCATCGATCATCTTGGAGGCCTGACGGTTGAGTTTGTCAAACTCTGCGCATGGTTAGTTCAAGAATCTTACGCACCCGAAGCGGTTGGGTTTCCTTATGTTGGTCTATACATACCATTTGATACGGCACCCCAGTCGCTGATCTTTTGCTTCTTTTCGATGGCATCGATAGTGGCCTCGAGCTCAGCGAACCGTTTGTCTTTGGCACTCTTTACGGTCTTTGGTTGATCCTCGTCGCTGTCCTCGCTTTCGGACGACTCGCCGCGCAAGAACCGCGAGGCACCGGTCTTCTTGACTCCCTCATCGTCGCTACTCTCCTCGTCAGACTCATCCTCCTCCTCATCCTCCTCGGATTCTTCTTCTTCGGATTCATCTACGTCCTTCTCCTCTTCCTCCTCCTCGGAGTAGAGCTCCTCCTCGTCGGAGCTGCTCTCGCTGGAGCTGTCGTCGCCGCTACGGAAGAACCGAGACATGTTGGCAGGCTTCGTCAGTCGGTCGCGGGGTACGTTTGCTGTTTAGCTGTCGAGATATCCGATATAGTCGTTGTTCGGTATCCCGTTAGACGACCACGAGTATCAGAGCCACAGCCCGGGGTAGATTGTAGGATGTAGGAAGCGGGTGTGCGGCCGTGGAGTTGTCACTGATCTGGTCAAGGAAGGGAAACAAGCGACCGATTGAGGGGCAAAATTTAGGTGGACCAGTGTTTTCGAAAATTCACAGTGAATTTTTACAGGTGGTGGTGGACTTTAGTGGGGTTGCGGCTCGCGCAGTGGCAGATGGCCGATGGCAAAGGGTCTAAGCCACTTTAAGTAAGCGAAGACGCGCTCTCCACCTGGCCATGGTCTCTCTGCTTTAGCTTTATCAAGGGAAGTTTAACTCAACCTAAGATCGTAACAATACCTGGTTGTAGGTGAAGTTATTTTCTATATTACGTACCTCGATATGTTCTAGCTACGGATTGATTGGGAATTCGTTCGATATTGTATGAAGGCGGTGATAATGGCTTTGTGGACAGCTCAAGTGTGAGAGGGAGAGAGTCCTTACTGCAATGGTATATTTTCGAATTTCAGGTATAAATCTGCCCATGTACCTACTACTGCCTGTGTACTGCCTGTGTACTAGGTAACTCACGGTAAACCAAGAACTCCTAGACACCATATGTAAAAAAGTATGCCTTCCGTTTGACGACCGTCCCATGATAAACGCCGATGATAGGAATGTTCCATCGCAAAATCAAAAGCTTTCAAATCAACCAATCAATCAATAAAATTGAGAGCACAGCTGGCATTGGTTGCAAAGGGATGCCGAGGGAGCCCCTTTTCATCGAGGCACATCTGCCCAGTCTGGGTGGTCCTTGTAAAGCCAGGTCTTGATGCCCTTCGGATTGGCAGCACGACTCTTTCTGGCCTTTTCGAGCACCTTTTTATTATCCTCGCTATTGTACAGCGCTGCGAAGTCTTGGATCTCGGTGCCGGCGCTTTTCATGTGGCTGACCAGTTCACTAAACAAGGCTTCTAGAGCTGTAGTTTTAGTTTAGCAATGCTGAATCATTGTTATCACTGGATGTTTACTCACATTCGGGATTGTTTTGAGCCACTTCCGGCATACCGCCAAGCATCCGAGGTATGGTGGTTCGCATATCTCGACACTAGATATCTTCAGTAATCGAGCTAGATGGACGGTGGTCAAGGAAGGGACCAATGTGTGGAGCATACCTTGGCAAGGAGAAGATCTAGGTGCTTCAAATCACGTTGAAGCTGCTTCTCCTCCGAGGTCTCGTCATTGCCGGATAATTGCGGTTTGCCCTGCTTCACATCGTGCTTCGTGTCTTGGCCGTTGGCCGCCATCATTTACTCTGATGTGGGCGTATGTAAGGTGATGAAGGTTGGCACGTCATGGACTCGCGCATAAGAGCCTTAGAGGACAGAATGGGCAAATGACATATGATAAGATTGCTGAACATGTAACGCAGAGTATAGATGATTCAGGGCCAGGTATGCCCGTGAAGCTCACACAGCTAGCTATGCGGCTATGCCTCTGCCTCTACCTCTGCCTCTTCAGCTTTTGATCTAATTGACCTGTGGGTACAACCTACCTCTTATACCTCCTAGGTAACTTATCGCTTACTCAGATAGCATGTATGCATATACAGAGTAAATGTATATACCAGGCTCGCCAGGGTAGGTACCTAGGTACCTACCTAGGTAAAGCACATGACCTAGCCACATTCCTCAGCTTGCGCCACAGAAACTACCTAGTCAGGCCTAGTCTAGCCACTAGGTGCGGTTTTGCTCTCTTCAGTGCTCCCTCTTCCCTGTTCTGGCGGTTCTGGGCACTGCATTAGCCCTTCGGTAGCCGTAGCTACTGCCTGCTACTGCCTATTTACGTAGCTCCAGGTGCTGAAGTGCCCACTAAGTGCAGACCGTGTGTGCTCTGTGGATCTCCTTCAAAACATGCTTCACCTCGCACGGTCTCTTCTCTGCCAAATCTTCTCATTCCCGCTCCGTATCTTCCATCATCACACACGGCTCCGTACCGTGAGAATCTCAACTTGCACCACCGACAACGTCTGAAAACCGCTTCGTCCACGGTGTCCGCATCCGCGTCTGCATCCGCTCTGTTGGACTGGACGACACCCGCGATCCCCGCCGAACATACCACCAACGATAAAAACAGCCCAGGTGCCACGCCCTTTCCCGTCTTCTTCCCCGAGTCCCCCGACGGCCTCGTCGAGACCGACGCTCGACCTGAGGCTCGTCCTCGTCCCTTCGTTTCCCCCCAGCTCCCCGACAATACCGCCAAAATTTCTCTCCAGCAGAATCCTCACCACTCGGCCGTCGCCGCGGGCGTTGTCGTCCCCAACGGCACGGCGAGTGCGTTGAGCACCCCACGACAACTACCCCCGACGGCCACCCCTACAGCCGTCACCCCCGTCACCCCTGGTACTATGACCGTTGGTGGCGAGCCTGGCACGCTGGCACCGCCTCCCGAGGGTATCTACCGCAGCTTCGACGATCTATTGAGCGCCGTGCAGCGTGTTGCCAAGGACCAGGGCTATGGTGTTGTCAAGCTGCGAGCCAGCAACTATCGTGATGGCAAGCCCACACGTTATGACTTAGTCTGTGATCGAGGCGGCGTCAAGTACAACAGCACGGCGAAAAAACGAAATCCCAGCACCCGCAAGGTTGACTGTCCATGGCGCGCCAAGGCTGTCTGCGAGGTTCAGTTAAATAACCAGTGGCGTTTTGCCGTCCAGGATGGCCGACACAACCACGAAGCCCGAGTTGCAGCTGCGCAGCCCGGTCAGGAAAACACGCCCATGGCACAAAGCATCCGAAGCCTGAGTAACAAGCTCGACCGTATGAGTCATGATATCACCCAGGGCTTCATGAGTGTCAGTCATCGACTTGAAAGCGTCGAGAAGCGACTGGAGGCTATGGAGGCCCGTATGGGCACAATGGAAGCTCGCATGGCTGGTATGGAATCGCGCGGAGCTGGAATGGAAGTTCCCATGGACAACATGGAAATGGAGGGATCTATGTTGGGCGCATCCGTTCTCTAGGCCGGATTGGCTCCGCAAACATCGCAGGGTGAACAATAAGCATGTTCCAAACGCTCCTAATCAGCCATGCAAAACTGAGAGGCGAGATTACGCACTCTACATTCATGACAAGAACATTGTCACTTGTCTCTTTATATCGACTCCAGCTCCCAGTTTTCTAATACTACCCAGTCAGGGTGTGATTTTCTCAAGGGCTCAAAAGGCGTACAGGACGTGAATCATTTGGGCTGGGCAACAACTGCGAGTAATTTTTTCCTTTCTTTATATTTCTCGGTCGGCAAGGGTTTAGGGCACAGGGCAAAGATGGTAAGGGTTATAAGGCGCCCTTCACGGGCTCGGTCTTGGGTGACTAGGGCAGATTATTAGTTAGGTGGCATCCCATGTAGCCTCGCGGCAAAGTGATGTCAGGGTGGTATACGCTTGCCGCGAAATGTTTCACTATAGATGCTCCCAAAGGATGCCAATTTCCGGATGAGGGTTACCATCACAAGCCGGCATACATACTCTCACTGAAAAGGATATCGCCTCTATCAGACATTTCGGTATAACATTGATAGACCGATGCTAATCACAGAGTCATCAATGTAAACTACGTGTACAACTACAGCACCCCTGTGATTCAGCTTCGGCAGCATCGACGTCAGTTTGTCTGACTGTTTCTCTTTGTGTTACTCTGGGAAGTGGATCTCTTCTCCTCGTGGTTCTTCTGTGTACAGATATAGATTGTCTCTACCACACTGAAAGTGTCAAAATAATATGTATAACAAAAAACCGATGCCGTCACACTGTTATCCAAGTGCCAGGTCACATCGACATAAACTTCATCCATTATAGACGCATAGATCTACCATGCCCGATTGTCACGAGCCCACTTCTGGGTCCTCGAAGACCATCGATGAAACTGAACCCAAAGAAACATGCGGGTTGCCGAGACGAGACATATATGTATGTACAAGGACTGGTGCATTGAGCCCCTCATTGTGTACCATCACTCCTACGGTACGTAGGCTTTGATGAAGTTGATCTAGGGAGAGAGTGCGAAAGCAAACAATCTCATTTGTAGAATATCATCATAAGAACTTACTCCCAATGATTAGAAATGACTTGATATTACCGCAATACTTTGTTATGACTGTCAAGGTCCGGACAATGGAAGCCTCGGGGGTTTAGGGTAGCATAGAATTTTATACAACCGCATCGGCATATGTAGATGTATCACATTGTCCACGGCTGTATAGCTCAGAATGTGACAGTTCTGCTGTCTACCGCGTTCAGCCAGCGCATATTTACCACGGGTATATGGCAAAGATGTAGCTAGGTATGTTAAGTAAATACCTAAAGTACACCAGGTCGAAAGAAGGAACGATATCCGTGGGGAGACACCGCTTGCTGCCCGACGTAGTCGCTACAAACATTGCATATGTAGGCGGCGACGCGGGCATCGTCGTAGTCTTGATGACGGACCTATGAACAACTGCAGACAATATAATGCCCCCGGCTTGGCAACGCCTTTCTTTCCGTGATCCACCACTATAGTCGTACAAGCATGGCCGAGTCCTCACCGGGACGAATCAAGACAGCATGGTGCTTCATTCGTATGATTCACACGCAGGCGCATGATAAGGCCATACCGGTGTACGAACAAACCTATCAACATGCTCACCTAATACCATTCGGGTTGGTATATATTACATTTCTAATCTTCAAGGCGTGCGTGCTTTTCCTTTAAATATATCGTGCTGCTTCCCCCTTTTTAACATTCTCCTCTTGCAACATATACACCACCAGCTACGGCCGTCACACAGCATGAAGCTTCGAAGGTAGAGCTTTGGTTAGGTTTCCCATGCTGAGAATGGATACACTTACATACTTACCCCTGAGACCATGGTTTGCCGTTCCTGCAATCCTTACTATTGGCGTCTTATTATTCAGACGATTTCAATTACTATTCCAGCTGCGTCACATCAAAGGGCCTTTGCTGTGGCGACTGTCTGGGATACCACATTCCTTGGCTTTGCTGAGTGGAGATTGCCACAACTTGTATGCCGAGCTTCATCGGAAGTATGGTACGTGACTACCATCTTAAGTGCTGTGGGAATGCTGTGCTTGGGCTAACAAGCTTCTTATTGTTAGGAGAGATCGTGATTGTCTCCCCATCGATGATAATAACGTCTTCTCCAGATCTGTGGGCTCGTTCGAATACATTCCCTGGATATAAAAAGTCTCAGTGGTTCTACCGTGCTGTGAGGTAGGCGACCTAATTCTACTATAACTCCTTATTTACTATTGCACTATTCTACATGACGCAGGGCAAATGATTAGAATAATGCTGATGGGTTATCGCATTCAGATTCGATTGGCGCGAAGACAATCTCTTCACCCAAACAGACACCGAAAAGCATGACCAGAGGCGGAAGCAGATGATACGAGGTGTAAATCAATCCTCCTCTCACCCACACACCCAGTCTTTCGTGGCAACTCCCCAACTTCACTAAGAGTATCACTAACTTGTGATATACAGTACTCTGGCGTCGAGAATCTAACCTTGGAGGCCGATGTTGAGGCTTGCGTCGTCAAGCTGCTCAATCTCATCAGGACCAGGTATGCCGGCCAGAGAAAAGCCATGGACTTGGCGCAGAAGACGCATTTCTTCACCATTGATGTTATTAGCATGATCGGTTTCGGTAAATGCTACAATCTCCTCGACGAAGACGACGACCCAGACGAGTTTCGCAAATCCCTCCACCACGGCCTCGTGGGGACTCACAGACAAGTAGCTCTGGGGACTTGGTGGATGAACTGGATCCCTTTCCTTGGATCAAAGCCAAAACTAGACATCGATAGTAATACGGGATTCTGCAAGATGTTGGCGCTGAACCAGTCTATGGTAGAGGCTAGAGAGAAAGAATTTCATGAACAAAAAAGCCTCGGCTCGGGTGAGTACTGCTGGGAAGTCCGCTTTTCATTTCACGGCCGCTTTTGAAACTCGGAATCCCGCTCAGGATTGAATTCCTAAAGATTTCGGAGCTTTGATCTTCAATTTACCCAGGCCATGAATAAGATGACATTTACTAATCCCGAGTATTGCAGTGCCTAGGCAAGACATGCTGACGTCGTTCATGAAGAGAGGCCTACTAGGGGATGAACTGAAGACAGAAAACTTGCTGCAGGTCGTAGCAGGCTCGGACACAACCTCAGGAGCCTTCAACGGGATCCTGTTATTCATGTTGACGAACCCGCCATGTTACAAGGCACTCCAGGCAGAGATTGACGACGCAGTGGCATCCGGGAAAGCACCGAGGGCACCCGAAGTGATCACATGGGCGCAGGCTAAGGCCCTCGAGTACCTTCAGGCTGTCATCATGGAAGGATTTCGAATGTTCCCTCCGGTGAACAATCAAAACTCTCGAGATGTTCCTCCAGGGGGAGACACTGTGACTATTGAGGGCGAGGAAGTGTTCCTGCCACATGGTCTCAAAGTCATACCTTCATATGTCGCGATGCATAGGAACAAGAATGTGTATGGCGATGTCGATGTCGATGTCTTTCGCCCTGAGCGCTGGCTTGAGGAGGCGGATGAAACAAAACGTCGGTGTACCTTGGCGTTCATTACCATCTGTAGGGTTTCAAAATTACTGAACATCAGTTTCCAGTGGCAGCAATGAAGCACGAGGTCAATCTGGGGTTTGGACATGGACGTTGGCTATGTCTCGGTAAGGCCATCGCAATGCGTGAATTGAGTATTGTACTGTTCGAGGTATGTTTCTGCTGTTCAGCAATACTAGCTCCCTTCTCCGTCAAGAATAAAGCTAAACAAACACTTTCTAGCTATTTCGACACTTTGACTGGAAACTAGTCAACCCTGAGAAGCCATGGAAGCATAAGGTCTTGATGGGACTGCGTATGTTATCCCTAATCTCCTGATATATTATCTTGTCGCACATTCTTTTCTTCATATTTCTTTCTTATATTGACTTAGCAATACTAATTTCAACTCTTCATTTCTTGCAGATTCTATAACCGACATGTGGGTTCAGGTAGAAGAGCGAGTAAAGTTAGAATAAGGCCAGGACATTAAGAATTCAGTAACGGATCCCCCCTGAATACACGCCACTTGGTGAAAGAATTTCTCCAAGGCGATATCAACTAATTTTGAAAACACGGGGAGGGGGGGGGGGGGGGGGGGGTTTTTTTTTTAAAAAAAAAAAATGGGGGAGATTAAAGGTAAAAAAAAAAAATTATTGATGGGAAAAACAATTTTCGTAAACGCAAGTAAATTAATAGATGTTAAT